TTGCTTGGGTCTTGTCCTCCCATGTGTTTCGTTAATCCCAATAGCCAGCTTCACACAAACAAAAGTGTGCCCGGCATTATTATCTGTTTAATAAAGTGAGTGAGTGAGTGAGTTGGGTTTAACGCCGCTTTTAACACTATTCCAGTTATATCACGGCATGTCAGCTTAATGTGTGAGGAAAGCCCGAAGTGATGCAGGTCTCAGACGTTTACCACTTCGGAGAAACCCACGAGCACGGGTATGGTGCTGACAAACCTAGAAACATAATCGGGGCGAACCGGGATTCGAACACACAATCATAGGGTTCTGGCGTGCCCAAGGGACGCAACTCTGCACAGAAAATCGCGGCGCCTTAGACGACTGGGCCACCCGTGCCCCCTGTTCAATAAGGATAAGATATATGGATGAACAGCTACTTTATTACAATTTGGAGCGACGTTTCGGTGTAGGTTCTAACACCGTTATCGAGCTAGTGAGTGAGTGAGTGAGTGGGGTTTTACGCCGCTTTTAGCTATATTCCACAATATCACGGCGGGGGACACCAGAAATGGGCTTCACACATCAAACCCGGGTCTTCGGCGTGACGAGCGAACGCTTTAACCACTAGGCTACCCGACCGCCCCTATCGAGCTAGTGGTGTGCAGAGTATGGTTGACAAGTATACATACAGGTAGGAGGCAGTGTTTATACAGTGAGTGAGTGAGTGAGTCAGGTTTTACGCCACTTTTAGCAATATTCCAGCAATAATACGGCTGGGGGCACCACAAATGGGCTTCACACATTGTACTCATGTCTGGAATCGAACCTGGGTCTTCGGCGTGACGAGCGAAAGCTTAAACCACTATGCTACCCGACCTGTTTATACAAGAGTAGATTGGGAGGAAGTTACACTGGAATAGAGAAACCTGTTATGAACACAATTACATATTAACCGATGAAGTCAGTAATATAAACAAAGGGATGAGGCCAGTAATATAAACAAAAGGATTATGGCTGATTGGAGTTTTTGATGAGTTGATGGTTCGCTGGGGGTATGTAATAGCCCTGATCGCGGTTGATTGATGGTTGGAGTCCATGTTGATGGCTTCTTGTAGTTTTCTAATTTTGAAGTCTTTGAGGTTGGTGGTGATGGCTTTGACTTTGTCCCTATGGATGCCGTGGCTTGTGTTGTCATGGATATGGTCTGATAGAGCTGCCTTAGAGTCAACTTTTGAGACTGAGCTTTGGTGTTGTTAAATTCGGGTTGTGAGGGGCCTCGCTGTTTGGCCAATATATGCCTGTCCACAAATGTACGTCCAATAAAACTTTGACTAATAATAACAATCATCAACATATTTGTAAAAGAAGATACTCATGACATGTTGATGGCTGTCTGTTAATGAAACACGAGCGGTGTCGTGCACTTAACAAATTTAGAAAAACTAAAGACAAGTGATTGAGTGTTTTTTTACGCCGCATTTAGTAAATTTCAAGCAATACCATGGTGGGACGCACCAGAAATGGGCTTCACACATTGTACCTATATCGGGAATCGAACCCGGGTCTTCGGGGTGATGAACGAACGCTTTAACCACTAGGCTACCCGACCGCCCCATCTGGCTTAAGACGAGGATACTCGACAATTGACATACTTTTTATTTTAAATGCTGTTATTCAACCATATTTAGGTATGTCTGGTCGTAAGGTTGTGTAGCCTTTTTAGACTTTTTAAAGGCGTTTGACTCTTCGTTCTTATTTGTGGAAATTATTTGAAAAGCACGGTGTCAGCTCTAAGATGTCAAAATGTTAAAGTCAATTTATGGTGGCCGGGTAATGTTAAGTCATGTGTCAGAAGTAATAACCTTTTCATTGTAATTTAGGTGTTAGACAAGGTTGCGTTTTAAGCCGCTTCTTATTTCAATTATTTACAAATAAAATTGTACTAAAATGGTACGTATTTTATCATTGTGACTGTTGCCATAAATATGTGTCATACATTTTGTACGAAGGGCCTATGGCCTGTATAGTACTGAATAGAGAATTCAATAATGAATTTAATTGCACGGAATGTGGTACACTGCTCCTAATGGTTCTAGCTTGTGTCTGGGTGGCGGTTTTCCTGTGGCTTTAATGGTGTTCTGAATGCTGTGACTTCTCTTGAAAACCACATCCTGTTTCTTTAACAGTCTCTGGATTTTGTGGCGAACTTTTCCAAAGTAGGGGAGGCTGACCACAAAGGGTGCAAATTGTTGACAGGGAGATTTCTGAATTTTCTTGGTGATGTTCTGTATTGTCTGTATGGTCTGTTGTACTAGCTGTTCGGGGTAGTGGTTGTACAGTGTTAAAACTTGTCTGAGGTGGTTGAGTTCAGTTGTAAGATGTTGCTTCGTAGAACACATGTTGTGAGCTCGTCTCGCTAGGGTTGAGATAATTCCTCTCTTGACTTCAGGTGGGTGGATGAGGCATAGTGAAGATCATCCATATGTCTTATCCTTACTTAGTACTCCCAACTTCTAAATGCCTCTAAATGTCTCTAAATGTCACAAAGGACATCGAAGGATCAATTCTCTGGGCAAGAGGGAAACGGTACAGATAACCTGCAAAACATTTCTCAATAAGACACGTGGAACGTAGGGATTGAGATTAATGTAGCATGACCTTCTTTGGAATTGTCTGTGTGGGATTTTGTCCCTGTTGAGAATTGTCAGAGTGGGGTTTTGTCCTTATTTAGAATTGTCTGTGTGGGGTTCTGTCCTTTCGAGAACTGCCTGTGTGTTTTCTTTTCCTTTGGGGAATTTCCTGTCTTTTTGTGATCCTTAACGTTTTTGAGTAGTACATGTAGATAGGCCTATTATGAATTTAAAAAACAAACATTTTGCAAGGCTTGTACATGTGACGAGATATATACATGGTGACACTCATCTGTTTCCCCCTAATATATATCATATATTAGGAATAAAAGCATATATTATCATGATAATGCTTGTCAAAGGCTCGCATAATTTTTTTATATATATATTTTATTCCTTATCTATATTTTCATTAATTATGTTAAAGAAAAACACAAGATCATATAACATGTACAACCATGATAATTATAATAATCATAACGACTTCAGTGGGCACAGGGTCATCACAATTGGCGTCATCGTGAGCGGAGGCGTGTCATCTTCTCTGCTGAAAGTCGCTTTTGTGTCTCCAATGCAGACGGAAGAGTCAGAATTTGGCGCCGTCGAGGTGATCGTTTTGCTGACAGAAACGTTGTGGAAAGGAACCCATGGGGTGGACCTAGCGTCATGATATGGGCAGGGATTGGACTTAATGCGAGACTTGGACCCATGTGCTTTCTGAATGTTGGTCAAGGTCGGGGACACGGCGTCACTGCTCAGCGGTATATCGACCAGGTGATCAGACCCCACGTTGTTCCATTTTTGCACATCAACAACACATTTTCCAGCAGGACAACGCTCGTCCCCATGTTGCCAGAGCTACCATGACCTTTCTGCAACAACACAACATCCGTGTTCTACCGTAGCCAGCCCTCAGACCTAATCTGAACCCCATCGAACACTTGTGGGATGAGGTTCAAAGGCGTCTGCACAATGTGCGCCCAGTCCCTACAACTGCCGATGAACTACGCATAGCTGCTCTGGGTGTGTGCAGGAGGATCCCTGGGGCCTCCACAAATCGTCTGATCCACTCAATGTACAGGAGATGTGTGGCAGTGATCAATACTAATGGTGGTCACACCAGGTATTGACTGACATTTTGGGTATTGACCCGAAACTGTGTAAGCCCTTAACATTTGAAAAAAATAATAATTATGTAATCTGCCTTTTAATCCATTAAACTGTCTTCAGTCAAATTTTTGTCAATCTTGCCCTTTTAGTATTTCTTGTCTTTTAATACTGTTGAAAATAAATAACATGTATACTGCATACTCGACTTGCGTTTCTTTTGCGTGTGAGTATACATGTACATGCAAGGACAAAATTAATAAGATGACAAAAGGTGGAAATTGACAAGGGGTGGAAACTAAAAAGTGAAGGCAACAGATCATTGGCGCTGATAGGTGATTAGCAATAGACAATGGAAGCCAACACTTTATAGTTATTAGCGCTGATAGTATGGAAGCCAGTACTTAAGTTATCATTGATAGGTAATAGGCAATGGACACTGGGCAATTGGGAGGCCAGGGGTAATTAGCACTGATAGGTGAAAGAATGGAAATAGCAATGCGCAAATGGAAGTCAGCTAAATAATTGGCACCGACAAAGATCAAAGCAATAAGTCCCAAGCACTAGGCAGATAGGTTCCCTGGTCACGGTTCATGGCTGGCTGGTGTCTCCTGATGTCAATGGCTTCTTGTCGTTTTCTTTGTCGCCAGATGTTGTTGGGAGACAGGACTTTGGTGGCTTTCCATATGATGTTATGGTATTTGTTCTTCAGAATGTGTTCAGAAATAGCGGATTTCAGGCCGAGTTTGTTAACAGAGTCTGGTGTTGAGGGCTCTCACGGTTTCTCTAATGTCCTGGTGGCCACAGTTGCAGGGGATCTGGTAAATACATCCTCGGGGGTTGGGACTTACGCTGCTTGTGCCTCTGCCATTGGCTTGTAGATTGGTCTTGATCGACTTGCCGCTAGAAGGTGACATCTACGTTGGCTTGTTCTTGATGAGATGGGAAATCTGATGAGTGACAGGGCCTTGGTAGGGTATGGTAATTCTGATGGGCGATGGGGCTGGTTTGGGTCTGGCATCACCTATCAGCGCCAATATGCTGTTGGCTTCCCTTGTCAATTTCCACCATTTGTTACCTTAATATTATAATTTTGTTGTCCCTACATGTACATATATATGCTCTCTGCCTCATGGCATTTATTCACCTGATGAAGGAGTAAGCATGTACTCCGAAACGTTGTGTTCCTCATAATATAGAAGTTGACATCCATAAATTCTCTTCCTTATGTGTATCACTTCTAAATGCCTTTCAAAGACCTTAATGAGATGGTTCTACAGTTTTCTACTTACCTTCATTGGGCAAAATATTTCCAATTGGGTCACTTGCAAATATCTTGTATGACAATGGATCAATGTATTTATCCAAATTAATAACATTTTCAGGTGGAGTGTTTGAAAATCCATGATCACTTGTTATGATAACGTTTGTATTTTCCAACAAACCCTTCTCTTTCATACGCTTCAACAGATAACCGACTACATCGTCCAACCCTCCGATCATTCTTGTCACCTGTCTAGAATCTGGTCCAAATTGGTGACCAAATTCATCTGGTTGCTCAAAATAAAGAAGACCAAGGTTGATAGGATAGGTTGCTGTGAACCAATCCAAAATGGTATCTACCCTCGTGTTGTTTTTGACAGATGGATCATACAAGATATTGTGGACAGCATGGACACCCTTGACAGGAGCACCCCCTCCCGGCCACATCACAATGCCGCTTCTGTGGTGAGGGTTGTGAAGCTGGTTCTTCACCCACACGGGTTCGCCGCCATCATCAAACCACTTTGCACTCCTCTGATCGGCTATATTTGATGCTGATAGGCCAAGAGTGAAAACTTCTTTCAGTTTTGGGTCGTACATCGTATTGGCCACGATGCCATGGCTTTCTTCCCACAATCCCGTAGCTAGAGTGTAATGGTTTGGAAATGTATTGGTAATGAACGCGTTCTTGAGGCCATTCTTTGAGTGTGCTCCATTTTTCAAGAAAACGTCGAAGTGCGGAGTATACGTCCGCTCCAAATAATTCCACCTGAATCCATCGAATGAAATCACTAACAACTTCGGCGGCGAACTCGCTTTTTCAAAGTGGCTATTAATCGGAATACAATACGATAGACAAACAAACACAGTTAACATTGAAATCATGTTCGTGCGACTTGAAATTACGTCGCAATTCTAACAAGAATCTGGAAACAATCAACTGTTTTCAGGTTGTCATGTTCAGGAAAGTCGGAAGAGGAATTATTCAAGGGAAATAACTCTATTTGTTGTTCATAAGCCGATCGCTAAAAAACTCGCAAGTCGACAAATCACAGGACCATATGTAACTAATAATAATAACCAACTCGCAGGCCTCGTCTACGCTTTCTTTGCGAATTTGTTCATTATCATTATTAGTTACATGGTCCTGTGGACAAATACATTTGCTCAAAACATGCAAAAGTAAACATGATATGCCTGAAGGGACGCATTACTTTTTGTTCACAATTATTTCCATGCAATATCACTTTGTAAAATTACACTCATTTACAGATTAACGAGGAGTGTTGCTCATAATGTCAATCACAGGTTTGTCTGATCCAGACTAGATTATTTAGTCTGCCAATTATCTGTGAATTGATGTCACAAATGATATTGAAGTATCAATTCTCTTGAATAGTCTGTGTTTTTGTTATTGTCCTCTTGGAAATTGTGTGGGGTTTTGTCCTTAGGGGAAATTGTCTGTGTGGGTGGTTTGCCCTGGGTTTTGTTCTTAAGGGGGAATTGTCTGTGTGGGTGTTTTGCCCTGGGGTTTTGTCCTTTGGGGGAATTATCTGAGTGGGTTTATTGATCTGTGGGGAATTTTCTGGGTGGGGTTTGTAGTGTGGGTAATTGTCCTACACCCCTGGAAGTCACCCAAAGAGATGAAATTCAGTCATGCCAGAAATCCAATGATTGTGGGTTCGAATCCCAAATTCGAACTCATCATGATATGTAGTTTTGACCAAAGTGATACTGGTAAACGTGTTTCATGTGCATCACTTACCAAACACCAAACAGACCAACACACATGAAATGTATAAATAAAATTTAATACTTTCAAATATTCTTAATACATTTATTTTGAGATCACATATATTACAGAAGAAATATGTACATATAGTGACAACACTTGTCCTGTAAACAATATTCCTCACAGCACGATGAGATGCAGACAGGCACTATAGTTACATCATATATATCACAGGTAAACATTGGGAAGTACATACGTCATAGAGAACAATGTCCGCTGATATATCTTTAAAATATAACAAGGCATGTAACATGTACTTAAAGCTATCTTGAGAAGCCCTGACAAGATGTCAACACCTAACAATCTTAAATTTAAAACATTTATTAAAATACTTGACAACTATTCGCTTTACGAAGATTTAGCAGAATATTTATCAAAATAGTTCAAACATTGTTTCCCGAAAAGGAATATTTACACATTGAAGACAATGCTGTGCTGAGATGAATCTAGGAATTTTACGACTATGAATGCAACAAAGGAAAGAATTCTGAAAAAAACACAATTAAAATACATCTTGGAAGGTCTTGAATTATAATACTACTCAAGGCAACATGGACGGAAGTACAAGAAATTGTAAGGATATCCTTATAATACTATAACTAGGTAAATAAATCTTTGGACATGATTGAGAAAAAAAAATTGGACAGTTTATCAAATAGAGTCAGTTGGATGTAATAAATATATATCTATCTACACTGAACTTAAAGTATATTTACAAATATACAAAATATTTCCCAAATAATATCAGTATTGAATTATGATCCTGTTGAAATATCTTACTTGTATATACTGATGTGAAGACATGAATTATGAACTTGAACCAAATAATGCTGCACTCGCTTACATTTTCCCTAAAACTGACTTCAACAATTTGCTGATTCCAAAACAAATGGCCCTGACAGACACTTGATGAAGCTGATGACTTAGCAGAGACTATTACAGAAGCTACGCAATCCAGGTTGGTGTTGGTTCGATTCCGCGGAGGGCGAAGAATGTCTCAAGTTTCGTATCAAAGTCTTGCGGCCTCTCTGTGGGATTGCGATAGCGGACGGTCATGTTGTCCCCAAGGTACTGGATCAGATGACAAGTCTCCTCAAACTGTAGCAGCTTTTTCTTGTACTTCCTTCGGATATAGTCTGAGCTCTTAGGATTGTATGCTGGAAGGTGAAAAACATTCATTTCAGTTACAGCTATGAGTCAGTTGTAAGGTCAACAGTTTTTAATTGTGTTCTCCCAGCAGTCCTAAATGATGGTCCCACTCCAAAATAATATCGATATTCAGATTGACCCATGTCCATCCTTGCATATAAACATCCCAGAACTGCAGGAACCAAGCCAGTTGATGGGATCTTTCCTTCATTCACCTGATGAGTGTGAGTGAGTTGGGTTTAACGCTGCTTTTAACAGTATTGCAGTTATATCACGGCATGTCAGCCTAATGTGGGAGGAAAGCCCGAAGTGATGCAGGTCTCGGATATTTACCAGTTCGGTGAAACCCTTGAGCACTGGTATAGTGCTGACAAACCTAGAAACATAATCGGGGCGAACTGGGATTCGAACCCACAATCATAGGTTTCTGGCGTGCCCAAGGGACGCAACTCTGCACAACGAATGGCTGCACCTTAGACGACTGGGCCACCTGTGCCCCCTTCACCTGATGAAGGAGCAAGAGGTGAGTGAGTGAGTATGGTTTTATACCACTTTTAGCAATATTCCAGCAATATCACGGCGGGGGACACCAGAAATGGGCTTCACACAATGTACCCATGTCAGGAATCGGTCCCAGGTGCTCAGCGTGACAAGCAAACACTTTAGCCACTAGGTTACGAGACCGCCCAGAGCTAGGGGTAGCTCTGAAACGTTGTGACAAAGAAAAATAGAAGTTGCTATCCATAAAAAGTGTCATGTATTCATGTTTTTCCAACTTCTAAATGCTTATCAAGGACTTTATTAAATGCTAGCTTTAGTTTGTGAAGAAGGACCTCAACTCTGCTTTGCTTCTGCCTAAAATGTGTCTCGTTGGCTTGCATAGTGGTTAGGCATGCCATTCACAACTTGGGAACACTATGTGAAGCCTAATCCTGGTGCTCACCCGTTTAAAAGTCTGAAATATTTGTCAAAACAGTAAAACCATACAGACACTGTTCAGAGTGTTCACACCAATAAATATCAAAGGGACACAACTCCCATCTGACAAGATCAAGCAGATCAAAAGTACAGAAAGTTGGATCAAAGTTTAAAACCTGCGATGGCCATCTAAGGACCTAAATGTGATCTGGATGTTCTGTATCATGTTAATTGTTTCTCTCTTAAAAAGAGTTTAGCCAAGCAAATTCAAATTGATTTTAAGAAGACCAAAATGGGATAATACCGATACTATCTTAAAAGTATTATATACACTCAGCGTCAATAGGACTGAGTATGTTGACAATGTAATTAACAGTTGAAGAAACCATGTTGTTTATGCCTATGCAGCGGTAGAAACAAACATTATTAGTCCACTAGTCCTTAAAATAACATATCGCAAAACCCTTAAAAATGGTAAACTTCTACTAGTCTTTATGATACCTTAAGAATTGGACAGTTTGGCAAGGACTACAGGACTAGTGCCAATTTCTAACGCTGCTATGTCACCCTTATTAGATACTTTTATGAAACTTAAAAAAGATGAAAAACGTCTATTAAAAACTATGAAAATTGCAAGATTGAAGGTGATAGAAAAAGCTTCCGAAAAAAACGCTTGAATCCGCCTATAAAATGACACTGAGTATACATGAAGCAAATACGCGACACCAACTCACCTTTCAAATGATAGGCCACATACAACAAGGATGAGCGGGATGTGTTGATGAAGGGGTATTTTGGCTTGAAGTTGCCGGCTGCAGTCAGAGCTTTGATGACAGCAGTGGACACAGTCTGCTCCATGAACCCCAGCATGGGAAGCCCCGTCACAGGGAGGGACTCCTTTTTGGGGGGGAGCTTGTGGGGGAGCTTCAGATTCCAGTACACCTCAGGCAGTCTGGACAGATCGGAGAGAAGTCAGGTACATTGAATTTTTCATTAATAAGGTATATTTTTCATAATATGCTAACCTTAAAATTTTAAAATTGAAAAAACACACTAAAATTGTTAAAGCACTATAGTATATATTAAACGTCATCAAACTTCAAAATTGATCAATCAGGCTTAATGACCAAGATCCACATGGAAACAGATTTATATAATATTGTGTTTACCGTATTCGACGTAATAACCGCCCCGCTCTAATAAGCGCCCACGGCAATATTTGCTAATATATTGGCACGTGAACAATCCCAATTAGCACCCCTTCCGATTGATCAATGTAAACAAGACTTATTCATTCGCGTATAATACGCATTCCTGTGTCATATGCACCATTAGTTAGGGGCAATTCAATTCTGGAAAATATATCTGCCGTACATAAACATTTCAGGCTGTCAGCATAAACCACAAAATTTTTCTTTCAACTCTGTTTTTTTTCACTAAAATAATATTCTAATAAGAGCCCCCTATTTCTAATTTTGAGAGCGCCCTGGGCGCTTATTAAGTCGAATACGGTATTTAAATTTTCTGCTGGTATCAGCACTTACTTCATGAACTTCAGGAGTTTCTTCTCTGACTCAAAGTAGTAAAACTTGTTCCTGTACTCCACGATCAGGTCAGAGCTACCCGGCACGATAGACTCGTATCTGCAGCAAACAAAACAACTTAGAAATCTTAAACATAATGGTTTACATACAATAAAAGACAATAAACTATATAGTTAATGTTGAAATTCACAACCTTCAAATAAAGATCTCATTCAAATTATTGGACTGACTTGAAAATTAGTAAAATAAACCATTATGGTATCACAATGTGTCTGATTTTCTGGGAAACATCTCATATTGTGAAGGACTAGTCCCCTTAAACACTGTCAGTGCCTGTGACATGATGTAATGTAATGTATGTTTTGTTTGTTGTTTAATGTCAGACTCAGCAATATTCCAGTAATGTGATGGCAGACTTTAAATAATCTAGTTTGGATCAGGCAAACCAATGCATGGATCGATGCTCATGATGTCAATCACTGGATTGTCTGGTCCAGACTCGATTATTTACAGACCGCTGTCACATACCTGGAATATTGGTGAGTGCTGCGTTAAACAACAAACAAACAAACAAAACAAACAACTGACCTGCGCTTGCCGTCCAGGAAGGTGACAGGGCAGTAGCCCTGCAGCTCGATGTCTCGGATGGCCTGCACCTCCTCTGGTTTCCTCCGTTTGGGCAGCATCTCTGGTGGGGGCAGCTTGCTGGGGGCCAGAGGGGGGACGTATCTTTCAGGCTCCTCCAGGAACTGGTCCAGCTCCACCTTCGACGCCATCTTGTAGTAGTGACCTGAAGTCAAAGTACTGGTCAGACCATGTATTTTTGTCCCACCACAAACATTCATTCAGTCATGCTTACTTAGGGACCAGTCATTTATTACAGATGAGGGTGGGTGTTTGAGGTTTTTGATGCACTAATGTACTGAAAATAATGACCCTCCCCAACGCTTGTCATTTTTTCGGATGACCCTCCCCATGTCCTTGTACATTTTGTTCATGACCCTCCCTTGACATTTGAATGGGCCAGTAGATTCAAAAGTTTTTAACACAGACAGGAATGGCTCAAGGTATTCATTACAATACAATGGAATCATATTCCCAGATAATGCTAATGCTCTTCGACCTTTATGTCCTTAGATGAAACATTCCCTGATTTACACATGTCATCTACGTAAAGATCAAACTCATGTAGCCTAGAGATCAGTGAACATACCAACCAGTGGCTACCCCTGTAAATCAGAAAGCCTACCTCTGAACTCTGCAGCACATTTGAGTGTTGGGTCAGTGGAGCAGTCAACAAGCTCCCCTCTGAGTGCCAGGCTGACGGGACAGTACTGCTCGAAGTCTCCCACCCGCTGCAGGAACTCCTTGGGCGTGATGCACATGTCAGCAATAGACGCTGCTTGACCTGAACAACAAACATTCAATATGAGAAACTCATCATCTTGCAGGGAAGGGTGCAACATTCAATATGAGAAACTCATCTTGCAGAGTAAGGGAAATAACATTCAATATGAGAAACTCATCATCATCTTGCAGAGTAAGGGAAACAACATTCAATATGAGAAACTCATCATCTTGCAGATTAAGGGAAGCAACATTCAATATGAGAAACTCGATCATCATCTTGCAGAGTATGGGAAACAACATTCAATATGAGAAACTCATCATCTTGCAGATTAAGGGAAGCAACATTCAATATGAGAAACTCATCTTGCAGAGTAAGGGAAATAACATTCAATATGAGAAACTCATCATCTTGCAGAGTAAGGGAAGCAACATTAAATATGAGAAACTCATCATCTAACAAAGTAAAGGAAGCAACATTTAATATGAGAAACTCATCATCTTGCAGAGTAAGGGAAGCAACATTCAATATGAGAAACTCATCATCTAACATAGTAAAGGAAGCAACATTTAATATGAGAAACTCATCATCTTGCAGAGTAAGGGAAGCAACATTCAATATGAGAAACTCATCATCTTGCAGAGTAAGGGAAGCAACATTCAATTTGAGAAACTCATCATCTTGCAGAGTAAGGGAAGCAACATTCAATATGAGAAACTCATCATCTTGCAGAGTAAGGGAAGCAACATTCAATATGAGAAACTCATCATCTTGCAGAGTAAGGGAAACAACATTAAATATGAGAAACTCATCATCTTGCAGAGTAAGGGAAGCAACATTCAATATGAGAAACTCATCATCTTGCAGAGTAAGGGAAACAACATTCAATATGAGAAACTCATCATTTACATAGTAAGGGAAGCAACATTCAATATGAGAAACTCATCATCTTGCAGAGTAAGGGAAGCAACATTCACTATGAGAAACTCATCATCTTGCAGAGTAAGGGAAACAACATTCAATATGAGAAACTCATCATTTACATAGTAAGGGAAGCAACATTCACTATTAGAAACTCATCATCTTGCAGAGTAAGGGAAGCAACATTCACTATTAGAAACTATCATCTTGCAGAGTAAGGGAAACAACATTAAATATGAGAAACTCATCATTTACATAGCAAGGGAAGCAACATTCACTATTAGAAACTCATCATCTTGCAGAGTAAGGGAAGCAACATTCAATATGAGAAACTCATCATCTTGCAGAGTAAGGGAAGCAACATTAAATATGAGAAACTCATCATCTTGCAGAGTAAGGCAAGCAACATTCAATATGAGAAACTCATCATCTTGCAGAGTAAGGGAAACAACATTCAATATGAGAAACTCATCATTTACATAGCAAGGGAAGCAACATTCAATATCAGGAACTCATCATCTAACATAGTAAAGGAAGCAACATTCAATATGAGAAACTCATCATCTTGCAGAGTAAGGGAAGCAACATTCAATATTAGAAACTCATCATCTTGCAGAGAAAGGGAAGCAACATTCAATATGAGAAACTCATCATCTTGCAGAGTAAGGGAAGCATCTGTCTGTATCATACACAATTTAGATCAGGGAGGTGACCTGGCTGTCATCACATACCGTATTCCCCACATTAAGCACCCTGCTCCAGTAAGTGCCCCCTGACCAATCTGTAAGTGATGTTTATAATGGCCCTACTGTGACTGAACATTAAAATGACAGTCCATATTATCATGTCTGTAATACAGATTTTTATGTTATTGACCAGAAACTATTATGTGAAATGTTTTAGTTTCATTAATTATTGAAATATGTTCAATACACATGATACAAGGGAGGTCAATCTAGATATCTGATTAAATGTTGTTTTCACAGTTCCTGCAGAAGATGAATAATGACATTTTAACAAGATAACTGTCATGTTAGAATGAAAATAATGGTGCTCCCCGATCATAAGTCGATAGTCAACACAACTGAAATACTGACCATCAGTGATCCTCTTTAGGTAGCTCTGAATCTGCTTGACGCTGTCCTTGGCAATGTCCAGCATGTTTTGCCACACCGCCCACTTGGAGCTGTCCCCATTCACCTCCATGTAGTTCATGTGCTCCTTGCTGTACCAGTCCTTTACTTCCTGGATGGAATCGCGGTAGCCTCGCAGTCGCACCGACAGGATCTGGGAGCTGTCGTGTAGGGGCAGAGTCCTGGAACACAGTGAGTGAGTGAGTGAGTGAGTGAGTGAGTGAAGGAAGGAAGGAAGGAAGGAAGGAAGGAAGGAAGGAAGGAAGGAAGGTATGCCATGCAGTCACTCTGACAGGCTCAAGGAGCTGTTGTGTAGGGGCAGAGTCCTGGAACACAGTGAGTGAGTGAAGGAAGGAAGGAAGGAAGGAAGGAAGGAAGGAAGGAAGGAAGGAAGGCCATGCAGTCACTCTGACAGGCTCAAGGAGCTGTCGTGTAGGGGCAGAGTCCTGGAACACAGTGAGTGAGTGAGTGAGTGAAGGAAGGAAGGAAGGAAGGAAGGAAGGAAGGAAGGAAGGAAGGAAGGAAGGTATGCCATGCAGTCACTCTGACAGGCTCAAGGAGCTGTCGTGTAGGGGCAGAGTCCTGGAACACAGTGAGTGAGTGAGTGAGGGTGGGTGAAGGAAGGAAGGAAGGTATGCCATGCAGTCACTCTGACAGGCTCAAGGAGCTGTTGTGTAAGGGCAGAGTCCTGGAATACAGTGAGTGAAGGAAGGAAGGGGGGACAGAGGGAGGGTATGCCATGCAGTCACTCTGACAGGCTCAGGGAGCCGTCGTGTAGGGGCAGAGTCCTGGAATACAGGGAGGGAGGGAAGAATCAAGAGAGGGAGGGACATTGCTGTCGCTTAAATCAAGTTTTAAGATTGGAATTATGAAACAGTCAGTGGCAGGAGGTTGAACAATGTTCTGTGACCATGTGATGCAGACATACCGTGAACTTGAGATTCTGTCCTTGGTTCCGCGGATCAGCACATCCTTGCTCTCCAGCTTCAATTCCACAACCCGCACAGGGATCAGGCTCCTCTCCGTCATCAGGTCAATCTGGTGCCGCGACACTGGGAAGCCGTCTAACACAAACCTGGAAGAATTCATCACACTGTCAATGCCTGACCAGCTTAAAGTACTAGAGCAGTGATAAATCCCATCAACTCATCTTCCCTTATAAACATTTGACCTTAAGGGATTATCTTAGTGAGTTGGGTTTAACACTGCTTTGAACAGTATTCCAGTTACATCACGGCGTGTCAGCTTAATGTGGGAGGAAAGCCCGAAATGATGCAGGTCTCAGACGTTTACCACTTCGGTGAAACCCACGAGCACAGGTATGGTGCTGACAAACCTAGAAACATAATCGGGGCGAACCGGGATTCAAACCCACAATCAAAGCTTTCTGGCGTGCCCAAGGGACTTGGGCTGGGACGAGTCCATATTTACTCCCCAGGTACACAACCACTCATTACCCAACCCTACCCAGGTACCTCTGTAGGTCTCAAGAGATGGGTACAAAATGTCCGATAGGGAATTGTATTTAGCTGAACAATATGACGGATGGTTAGGCATACACTGAAGTTGACTGAAGCTTTATCTTTATTCAAAAATTCTTTATTCAGTTTTTACAATAGAACAATTGTAATAAAACATGTTTCTGAAGCTACTGCCTACCCTCTGGTCTGACATTTCATATCCATCATGCAGATCTCCAGCGCTTGTACTGCAAGCTCATCAGGGATGGTGAGGCCACGGAAGAGGTGCGAGTTCATCTCCCGTGCGAGTTCCGAGAGAGGCTGGTTGTGCAGCACAAGTCTCATGGCCTCACCGATGGACAACCGCATCAGGCCGTACTCCTCCGCAAACCTTGTGGCCACTGCACAGAGAACACATCATCATCATCATCATCATCATCATCATCATCATCACGGATTGTGCGAAAAACATAAATAAAACATGCTCGTCTTAAATCAAGTAAACACGAAGTCTTCTGTTTTCATAAAGGTTTCACTCATTTCTTAACATTGGCAGTTCTAGTGGCCCCTGTGAAGATCAGGGTTAGAATTGGTCTTCAGCTGGTTCAGAGGCCCCATATGGTATTGGGTGGACAGGCTCACTGAATTGGTTGATACATGTCATCATATCCCAATTGTGTAGATCGACATTCATGATGTGAATACCTGGATTGTCTGGTCCTGACTCTATTATTTACAGATGAAGGTATCGCTGGAATAATGCTGTGCAGTGTAAATCAAAGCAAAAACAAACCAACAAGCAAACCCTTCTAGTGAGGTAAAAGGTGTTCTTGCCAACCCAACTCAAAGCATGAAAGATCTTTGTCGGACTTACACGTAGTTTTCCCTGACTTGGGTGGTCCGACGACTGCAATTCGAACTGGCACAACCGGTTTGGGCGACACTTGTTTGAGGAAGGTCATGGGGTCATGCATGAATTCTTCCCGGGCCTGTGGGCTGGACAGGAAGTAGACGTGTTGGCGGTAGAGGCAGGGATACGTCTGGTAGCCGGGGCCGCTCATTGCCTGGATGCACTCCCCGCTTTGGAGCTGGAGGATGGACACCATACAGTGAGTGGAGATATACACATCATTTGATGTCATAGAGGCACAGAACTCAAACTCTAAAGGTTTAGGGACATGACTTGTGTGTGTGTGTCCATATGTGTGTGTGTGTCCATATGTGTGTGTGTCCATGTGTGTGTGTGTCCATATATGTGTGTGTCCATATGTGTGTGTCCATATGTGTGTGTGTCCATATATGTGTGTGTCCATATGTGTGTGTGTGTCCATATATGTGTATGTCCATATATGTGTGTGTCCATATGTGTGTGTGTGTCCATATATGTGTATGTCCATATGTGTGTGTGTCCATATATGTGTGTGTCCATATGTGTGTGTGTGTCCATATATGTGTGTGTCCATATGTGCGTGGCCATGTCCGTGTGTGTGTGTGTGTGCCTCTGTGTGCTCAGTGCGTGTTTGTCTGTCTGTGTGTGTGTCTCTCTGTGTCCTGTGTGCATGTTTCTCTCTGTGTTTGTCTGTGTGCTGTGTGCATGTTTCTCTCTGTGTGTGTCTGTGTGCTGTGTGCATGTTTCTCTGTGTGTGTCTATGTGCTGTCTACATGTTTCTCTGTGTGTGTGTGTCTGTGTGCTGTGTGCATGTTTCTCTGTGTGTGTCTGTGTGCTGTGTGCATGTTTCTCTGTGTGTGTCTGTGTGCTGTGTGCATGTTTCTCTCTATGTGTGTCTGTGTGCTGTGTGCATGTTTCCCTGTGTGTGTGTGTGCTATTTGCATGTTTCTCTGTGTGTCGGGGCTTGTGTGATTTAGGGGCTGGGAGAGGCAGAATATTTTTCATTCGTAGCTTCAAGACACACACTTCCCAAGGGACAAGAATGTAGTCTGGATATAGTCTGCTTATGCTTCATCAGTTTGCCTCCTTGAACTGCAGGGGATGTAAAAGTGTGTGTTTGTTTTGTTTAGGCTTGTTGGATGGAGGAGAGCAATCTCATTAAAAACAGATCTTGGTTCTCTCTATCGCTAAACAAAGATCTGAGGACATCCCGTTACGGTTCACGTCAGACCGACCTTGACAGACCAATGGAAGGACTGACAAGAAGTAGACATTAGCTAATCAGAAGGCAGTTTTCTCGTGCTTTACAGCACTAAATTCAAATTGGCGACTACGCTTCAAAACATATTTTGACAAATTCTAGATTAAAAATTTGAAACCTAAACAAAAGAACATTCTGGTATGGCAAATATATTGGTCTAGATCGATTCAGTCAATAAACCCATAACTATCGTTCGGAATAACCCGTGTTAAAGTTTTCGAGGTTGCATTATTAGAAATCACATTCCGACTGTCACTTTAATGATCTGGTAAGCGACGCCTTGATTGGTCGGATGAAAGGTCGTTCTGACGTGATCCTTAATGGGATGTCCTCAGATCTTTGTTTAGCGGTAGCGAGAACTAAGAGTTGATTTTAATGAGATTGGGAGGAGAGAGACTGACGATCACACACAGGTTGATTAAGATTGTGGTGTATAACCCGCTGAGCCACGTACCTGCACCGGACACCACCTGCCGAAGCGACTGGGCTGCTTGTAGCCTATCTGCAGCATCTTCTTGGCAAGCTTCTCACTGACAGGGTAGATTCTCTCAAACAGGCTGTGGCGGAACTGAACAAATGGCTTGATCTTCTTGGTGAGGATGTAGCGGACGATGTGGGGTTTGCGGCCACCATCGACGTCCAGGCGAGGAACTAGCGCCTCCTCCAGAGTGTCCTGAGGAGAAGAGCAACATCAACAGTTAATTTTAACAGTTAGTTTAATAAACTGGAGAAGCCTGTGAGTAAGTGATGGTCATTCAATGTGTTCATAGTTTATTTAATTCAATTGGATTAACATACAATAGTGGCGGCAATGTTTGATGTTGAATTGAAGCAAATTGGTGACAAATATGCAGACATATACGTTAATGCTCTTGAAAGGATAAACTCCTTTTTCCTGAGTATGTAGGGAACAGATTGTCCTAGATCTCACTGGAGATGCTGTATGACGAAACAATTAGATTGTGTTACAAATATTACCTCTTGTTATCTCAAAGGGACAAACCAAAATTTCCCCAAAAAATCAAAATATTCCCAGGTATTCTCAATTGCCATACTATAATATAATTTAAATCCCATGAAAAACAGTGTAAGAAAAATTATGTGAGTACCAGTTTCAACTAAATGTATAACAATTCTAAGCACACAGGGTTTCTATGAAAATTAAATCCAAATGGTAATGTTTCCCCTTTGTGAGGAATGTCAAATTATGAGAATTACTTCTAAGGCTAAAAAAATAACAGTCTTTGTTCTCAGGCACTGCCCACATCATCATAAAGTTCATTGCACGTTTCGTTTTTTATTCCATTTTCAATTTATTTTGTGCATTGGTTTAAGTATTAGGATTTTTATATTGTTTGGAAAAGGGAATAAAACGAAACGTGCGGCAGACTTTATGATGATGCGGGTGGTGCCTGAGAACCAAGACTTATTTTCTTTAGATTAACTTAGAGGCACAATCTGACACTTTTACCATGAGGAAGATGTAGCAGATCACCCTGCAGGCTGGTGAAATATATACAGAAACAAGGCTCTGTAGCTCATCTAAATCATGAGGAAATGGTGGCCACATTAAACTTGGATATGAATACTGTGAGCTACATCTAAATGTGCCAAAACATGACTTTCAGTCAGGTGAGCTAATAAATCTAAGGTTTATCCTGTGTTGCCCTACCTGAACCTGCTCCAGCCTGTTGGTGTCGTTGTCGTACATCTCATTCAGATTGTTCCTGATCCTGTCCACAGCATCATCCTCCAGCTCTTCCTCCTCCTCTTCCTCTTCTTCCTCCTCCTGCATAAACACCACCAATCATTAACCTCAAACGCCTCACTCATGTTAGACAATCATCATTCAAAGAGTCCTTCTGTACTGGTTGACAAGATCTGTCTCTCATGCCATCAGCCACTGGTTTGCCTGACCCCGACTTGACAGATTAACATGATGTACATAGAAAGAGGCACACAGATTTTTGTTGGGAACCAGTTTTTCCTTCATTGCTTCAAGACACACAATTCAAGGATGTGATCAACAATTGTCCAACAAACAATTATTTGGGAGGGTAAAACCTGAGGAAAAAGTACTTTTTCTCCAGTATTTTCTGGAACAAATGATCCCAGGGCCCACCCCCACAGAATGTCAAACAGTCAGTCCCTAAAGCATTGCAGGAACCCAGACATTCCTGTAGACTCCATGTCACTACATGCAAGGGTGAGCACATGTCTTGAGTGTCACAAAAGGTGACTGCAAATGTTTGCTAATATATTGGCTATTGATCATGAACAATCCCAATTAGCACCCCTTCCGATTGATTAATGTACACATGACTTATTTATTCCTGTATACTACTCACTTGTGTGTTACATGCACCCTTAATTATGGGCAATTAAATTCTGGAAAGCTATATTTGTTGTGTATAATACACACAGACTTTTCTTTTGTATCATTCCAGGCTGTCAGCATAAACCACAAAATTTACGATCTTTGGACTCTGTTTTTTTTTCTCTCACCAAAATTATATTCTAATAGGAGCCCTCTATTTCTAATTTTGAGAGCGCCCTAGGCGCTTATTAAGTCAAATACGGTAATGTTTATCAACAGTACAAAAAAAATATTATGGGTAATATATGTTTCACCTCAAATTCCTCAGCTAGCATTGCTTCAATGTCTTCTTCCTCTTCCTCTTCTTCTTCTATTTCCTCCTCCTCATCGTCTTCCTCCTCTCTCTCAGCTGCTCTCTGGGCCTGGTAGAACATCAAAGAATGAATCATCCCACACTGATAATATCCATGCTCAACATTTCAAATTTAATCCATATATACTCACCGACAAAAGAAACGTGAATACCCCGATGTTGGTTAACATATGAAGAACTACTCATATTCAAGAGATCTTAGATTGGTTCGATGCACAAACCAACATACTGTTATGTGTGAACCAACACTCATGAACGTCACATGTGACCTCATATATCCCTGACTCGAGATGCACCATTTGTCTCGTGAAGGGTGAGTGTGTAAAGTTTGGAAATCACGTGCAGCATATCGTGATGAGAATAAAGACACTGTTGTTACACTTGACTGATTGTTATTTTTGTCATTAAGTGGTACAAATTGGAAACATCTCTTCTTTACGTCCATACTTATGATGTTCAAGAGGTCTGTCCTATTCCAGGATTGATATTCCCTAGGGTCAGGGGTGACGGGCATATGATACCGCAGTTGAAAGTTGAGTAATTGGGCGTGCGTGAATATTTCTGTATCTGCATGTTCTTGCGAGCGAGACCTTTCGTTGCCTTTGTATTTTTGTTTTGTTTTGATTGTTGTTTAACGCCGCACTAAGCAATATTCCTGCTATATGACAGCAGTCTGTAAATAATCAAGTCTGGACCAGACAATTCAGTGAATGACATCATGAGCATCGATCCACGCAATTGGGATCGATGACAAGCATCAACCAAGTCAGCGAGCCTGACCGACTGATCCCATTATGTCGCATCTTACGACAAGCAAAATTGTCTTTTACGGCAAGCATGGGTTGCTGAAGACCTATTCTACCCCGGATCTTCAAGGCCATGAAGCTGAAGCACTTTATGTGACTATGCAAATCCAAGAAACAAGGCTTGCACCCTCTTGTCTGAATCAGATTGTCACTGTGTGCAATCGTTACAAAGAACAATGACCCGCAGAAACAATGAACATAACACACCCTAGTGGTATAAGAGCATATATTTCATGTCACAGCTTCTATGATGTGGCAATGATGTGCTCCAAACTGGTGATGAAATATATTCCTTATCATATTGACAATAAACTGATATTGTCACTTGACAAATTTCCTTGAAATACAGAACATCATTGAAAAGAATTTGGCACCATCCATTTCTGACATCTCAAATGGGTATCATATGATGCCTATTTCTAGTGTCCCCTGTTGAGATATTGCTGTAATATTGCTAAAAGCAGTGTAAAAACCCAACTCACTCACTCACTCACGCAATCCAATGACCGCAACATATAACAACTCTACACACCCTTCACCCCACAATCCCGAATACCATCTATTTTTTTCACTCTGAGTCTCACTGCTCACCCCTGAATGCTGAAATCAAACCATTGGAAACTTTTTTTTATATAAAGGCAATATTTTACATACATTTTTTTGGTTTAAAGGATGAATCTTCATAACAAATACAAATTTATTTGTGTCCCAAGTACCACACTCTTAAGTCCCTATCTAAACATGGGAAAGGGTGACATATGATTTGGTACATTTTCAGTATTCCATATCTATGTCTGAATAATCAAAGTCACATACAAACTGTGATTGATAGGAATACATGGGATGATGTGTCCATGTGGCCACTGAATGTAGTCCTAAACAGACATTAATATTGTCTCTCACACCCACCTGTCTCTCCTCCCTCCTCTCCTTCTGGTCCTTCAGGAGTTCATCTCTCCTCTTCTGGATTGCAAGCTCCTGAAAGCCAAACAGTCATACGTAAAGAAAATGGTTTTGATTAACTTATTATTTTAAGATTGAGCTGCGAACGGGGAACTTAGGAATAACAATTTCTTAGCCAGGACATTGGAGACATTGGTTCAGGGGACTATACAAAAATAACCCACTCACCCAAACTCACTCACACAACCACCCACCCACCTACCAACTGGCTCACTCACTCACGCAACCCGCCAACCCACTCACTCACTCACTCTCACAACCACCCACCCACCTACCTACTCACTCACCCACTCGTGCAACCTGCCCACCCACTAACCCACTCACACAACCACCCACCCACCCACCAACTCACTCACTCACGCAACCCACCAACCCACTCACTCACTCACTCACACAACCACCCACCCACCTACCTACTCACTCACCCACTCGTGCAACCTGCCCACCCACTAACCCACTCTCTCACTCATTCACACAACCACCACCCACTCACTCACTCACTCACCCACCCACCCACCTACCCACACAACCACCCACCAGCTCACCTACTAACTCACTCATTCACCAATCCACTCGCTCACCCAACCCACACATCAAGTCACTAACTCACTTAACCACCCACTCACTCATCTACCAACTCACTCACCCACCCCCACACATCCAACCATCCACACACTCACTCACTTAACCACCCACTCACTCATCTACCAACTCACTCACTCACCAACGCCCACCCAACCAGCCACTCACTCACTCACTTAACCACCGACTCACTCATCTACCAACTCACTCACTCACCCACACCCACACCCACACCCAACAAGCCACACACTCACTCACTTAACCACCCACTCACTCATCTACCAACTCACTCACCCACCCCCACACATCCAACCATCCACACACTCACTCACTTAACCACCCACTCACTCATCTACCAACTCACTCACTCACCCACACCCACACCCAACAAGCCACACACTCACTCACTTAACCACCCACTCACTCATCTACCAACTCACTCACCCACCCCCACACATCCAACCATCCACACACTCACTCACTTAACCACCCACTCACTCATCTACCAACTCACTCACTCACCCACACCCACCCAACCAGCCACTCACTCACTCACTTAACCACCCACTCACTCATCTACCAACTCACTCACTCACCCACACCCACACCCAACCAGCCACTCACTCACTCACTCAACCACCCACTCACTCATCTACCAACTCACTCACTCACCCACACCCACCAAACCAGCCACTCACTCACTCACTCAACCACCCACTCACTCATCTACCAACTCACTCACTCACCCACCCACACCCAACCAGCCACTCACTCACTCACCAATACCTAATCTTCCACTTCATCTCACCTTCTTCTTCTTAGCCTTCTCCATCTTCTTCTGCTTCTTGACCATTCTCTTGTCTCGCTTGATCCGCCACTTGTCTAGTTTGGGTGGCAGCAGGCGGCCGATGACATCACCGTCCGAGACTCCGACAATGATGGCTGCATCGGGAAACAGGCCTAGCTCGGCCAGATACCTCACCTCCTCAGCTGTGCGGGGGAAACCCTCCAAGATGAACCCTGTAGATCTGAACAGAAAGGTAACCCCTTTAGTCCAAGAGATAGCATGGAATTAATTTACCTCAAAGGTCCAAAAGGTTTGAAATGTGGATCATGAAGGCGCTGTGCAGAATTGCGTCCCTTGGGCACACCAGAAACCTATGATTGTGGGTTCGAATCCCGGTTCGCCCCGATTATGTTTCTAGGTTTGTCAGCACCATACCCGTGATCGTGGGTTTCACCGAAGTGGTAAACGTCTAAGACCTGCATCACTTCGGGTTTTCCTCCCACATTAAGCTGACACGCCGCGATATAACTGGAATACTGTTAAAAGCGGCGTTAAACCAAACTCACTCACTCACTCACTCACTCACTACAAATTGTATCTTGACCATTTCCCCGACAGTATGCCATTAAAGGCATGACTCACCAATTTTTTTTAGCGCACATGTGATTAAGGAAAACGCGATAAGTTTAATAAAAATTGAGAATGACTACGAATAATAGCTACAATAGAGATTTTGAAGGAGGAGTTATCTCCCTTTGGTGTATTTTAAATATTATAGAGTATTATAAAAGTAGCAAAAGATTACGTTTTTGTCAGAAAATGAATAACCTTTGCAGTGTTTTATACTGGCTATGCCCCATTCTAACAAAATCAACATAAGTTTCATGAATTTGGGGAATAGTTTGGTTATGAATCCAATTAAAAGTTGAAGTTTACAAAAAATTAACTTAAATTGCCATTTTGACTGTAAAAAATATATATGAATTAAATACAATTTGTCAGTTTTTTTGTTTTCATAATAAAATATCATCTTTCAAGAGTTGATTTAACATAGAATTTGACCACTATAGGTAACATATACATATCCTGATCATCTCTGAAAACATACTGTCACCTTCAGGAAAAAGTGCTGAGTCATGCCTTTAACGCCCCCCCCCCCCCCCTACTGGCAAAATGGTCAAGATGTATTTTGTAACCAATATGTTTTTGAATAGCCCAGACATAATGCAAATGTTACAAGTATTCAAACCATATGGACCTTTTGGGGTAAATAAACATACCCTATCTCTTGGACTACTTTGAAATAACAATAACAACAACAACAACAACAACAGCAACAACAAGTCCTTTTATAGAACTTTTCATAAACCTATTGCCAATTTTGCCTATAGTAGTGTAGGTATCTTTCTGTCTCTTTGCAACCTTATGAGAGGTCCTACTTTCAAGTGGGCCCGGCTTGGAGGTTTAACATTTGAATTGTAAGACCTGCTTGGAGGTTTAACATTTGAATTGTAAGACCTGCTTGGAGGTTTAACATTTGAATTGTAACACCTGCTTGGAGGTTTAACATTTGAATTGTAAGACCTGCTTGGAGGTTTAACATTTGAATTGTAACACCTGCTTGGAGGTTTAACATTTGAATTGTAAGACCTGCTTGGAGGTTTAACATTTGAATTGTAAGACCTGCGTGGAGGTTTAACATTTGAATTGTAAGACCTGCTTGGAGGTTTAACATTTGAATTGTAAGACCTGCTTGGAGGTTTAACATTTGAATTGTACAGACTGCTTTTAATATTCATGTAATATTGATTATTGACTGGTTAAAAGTCACAATTGTTTTCACATGAAAGTTCCATGATGTGAATCAAACCTGCGACCTGACATGCATGCATCATGTTTAATATTGTAACCCACTGTTTTCCCACTAAGATACAGATAGGTGATGAAAGAGTGTTCAATCTTACATGTGACGGATTTCTATCAGTCGCCCGTTGTTCTTGAATTTGTTTTATGCGACGACAATGCTATTGTTTCACTACAAGGTACCCCAATGTGACTTTTTATTCTTTCTGGATCCGATATCTTGCATTTAGATGGTTCACAAGTTGGATAAAACACTTCTCCTCTCCCTTGTGTTTAAATTGCCCACCCAAACCACAGGCCTGTTTCATCCTTAACTTACTACATAAGAACAGTTTTATGTACGTCAACTAGTATGGTAGAACGTGAACACAGATACAGCAGGTCAAGAGGACCGAACCTTCCTCACTCAGGGCAGAGACTCCATCCACTAAAGGCGTTCTCGGAAACCAACAACGTAACTAGAAACTCACTTGAATGGCTCCCTCTGCCACCAGTGGGGGATGATGTTGTCCAGGACTTCTGCAGGGAGGGGCTCATCCCCCTCCAGGTTAGCCTTGATGGCCTCCTCTTCCTCCGTCAGCTCAGGCTCGGGATCGGCCTCCCCTTCCACTTCCTCCTCGTCATCCCCCTGGGTGACCTTGCTGTCCTGCCCCGCCACCTCGGCCTGCTTGGTGTCACTGCCTGCTAGCTCCTCGTCCCCATCCTTCACTACACTGCCATCAGGGGCCAGGATTGCACCATCTTCCTCTTCTTCCTCCTCTCTGTTAACATGGGGGAAGTGAATACAAAACTAGAACCACAAATTAACTGTAAACTTTTCAAATAATTATTCACCAAATTGTATATTCTCTCTGGCTACTGTAACCACTTCAACAAGACAACCAAGCCTTCTCTGACAAAAACTTGTTTGTTGCTTAATGCTCAGCAATATTACATCTATATAACAACAGTCTGTAAATAATCAAGACTGGATCAGACAATCCGGTGACTGACAACATGAGCATCACACACAATTGGGATATGACATCATGCATTGATCTAAGTCAGTGAGCATGACTATCTGATCCATTTAGTCGTCTCCTATGACAAGTATTGGTTGCTGGGGATGTATATTCTTCCCCCCAATCCCCACGGCTCCTCTGGCAAAAGCAAATACAAATAATGTACTTTTAAAAAGTAAACATCATGCACTTTCAAAAGAATTTATATTTTGTTGTCACTAAAACAACTGAACCAAACAACCCAAAAGAAAAATATAATATTGAGCAACACAAATCTTTGATTTTTACCTACCAAAGCTAATTTGTGAATCTGCAAGCCAAAAGATATATAAAAGCGTGACTGTATTGTCCAAAGTGGAAACTGTGTGCCAGCAGTTGCTTCTACTCACTCTTCCTCATCTTCCTCCTCATCTTCCTCAAACTCGGGCCCAATCTTCTTCTTGGTCTTGGCAATGATGAGCTCCTGCAGCCTCTCCCTGAACGAGATGTGGAACAGGCCGAGCTTCTTGGCCAGGTGACGGCCGTGGAGGGACTTCCCGGCGCCCCGGGGCCCCAGGATCAACAGCCGGACCGGCGGGGCCTGGAACATTCACACAGGAGATATATGATGCTGTACAATCTGACAGAGCCTCCACTGTCTTGAAAAAAAGCCATCCCAGTTGGTCGCCATTAGTATGGATGTAATGACATGTTTAATTTGAGCTGCTTGCCATGTAAAAGTCTTACTTTGAAATTAGCATGTCTGAGAATTACTAGTCTGAGACTAATACAATTTTTGAAGGATATATTCATGTGGACAACCACTTTAACCATAAGGTTGATGGTAACTCCTTCTGCTGAACAGCAGAAATAGAAATCTGTTTCTATCCTTTGACTCTTACCATGACTTGCCATACTGAGACTGAAGGATTCCTTGTTGTAATGGGTACTGTAGATATGGCAATGTATAGAAATCTATTTCTATCCCTTGACTCTTACCATGACTTGCCATACTGAGACTGAAGGATTCCTTGTCGTATTGGGTACTGTAGATATGGCAATGTATAGAAATCTGTTTCTATCCTTTGAATCTTACCATGACTTGCCATACTGAGACTGAAGGATTCCTTGTTGTATTGGCTACTATAGATATGGCAATGTATAGCACTGGATCCAGGATGTGTCTATTCTATGATGCACAAATTCCTTTACAGACTTGAATAGTCCAGACTTCCTGACTCTTCACGCATTATGGAATGGATGCATCCATTTATGCCACGTATATATTGTCAAGGTAGGGTACATTTGTGCATTCAAATTCTATTTAGATAAATTTCAGAATACAGAAGGGTACCTGAAGGACATATCTGAAGCATCTTTGTTGCCATGACCCTTTCAGCCATATCCAGATTGTCTGCTGTTTGGCTCAAGATAGATCTCCATTGTCACTTAAACTTTCATGGAAATGAAACTTGTGCACTTCAATGTTAAATTAGTTTCATGAGTGAATAGCTGGGTGTACAAGATTTCTGTCAATGAAGCTGAAATGTGATGAAACTTGATAAGTTTCTTTTAAAAAACAAGATGGCTGCCATGCCTGACCTCCCTATTTTAAGAGCTGAGAGTGTACAAGACAATGCTGTTCCGAAAATACTAACACAGTGAAGTCAATTCAGATAAATAATTGTGTCAACAATAACTACACTGATAATGATTACTTATTTAATCATCAACAAAAACAACTCAAGACAACAATACAGACATCGTTCAGCGCAAAAATGCAACGCAAGCCCCACCCATCCCATTATCAGCCAATCAGAAAACAGTACTCCATTTGTGGGCGTAGCATAAGTTGTGTTCAGTTTATGGAAACACAAACTTAAAATAAAATTGTTTGGTTAGCCAATCAAATGTGACGGAATCTCTTGCAATTTATTTATTTAAGGATAGACTGTGTATCTTTTTCGGTCCATTGAGGTATGAATCGAAAAAAAATGATGTGCAAACTGTATGAATCTGCGTAGCAAGCCTGCACATTTGCTGTTTCATTCCATTTCAGCCTTTTCTCTCAAAGGGTAGTTTGGACAATGAATATGCATGAGTTTTGCTAAATGTCTTGTTCATGACGATACACGTGAGCAGAAAGGGGATTCCCTCAACTGTAATATTGGGATTCCCCGACATTCCATTGTAATGAAAGTAGCCCGCTTAGGTGGGCGTGGCTTAATTTATTACATTCATTGGGAAAAGAATGGAATAACACGTGACCAATTCAGCTAATCAGAATGCAGGAATTACAATGAACACAACGAAAATTTAATTCCAAGACAAATTCCTGACTTCACCGTCACAATGGAGAAGCTACTCACCTCGAGTGGTTTATTCTTGGGCAGGTACTGTTCAGGGTTGTTGAGGAAGGAGTCCCTAGCCTCGTTGGTGGAGAGATAGTACACCCGCTCTCTGTACTTGGCAGCAATCTCCGGGTTGCCGGGGAACAGCACACCCGTGTCCTTCAAGGCCACTGGGCAGAAGTGGTTCGTGTCCCCCAGGGGCTTCTTCTTGTTACGATTAGGGTCTTCCTCCTGATCATTCAATGTAGGGAGTCAGTGAGACGAGGTGAAACTACAGATTACTGTAATGTGTATGTGTGTGTGTGTGTGTGGCTGCTTGTACTCTGTAGGGAGTCAGTGAGACGAGGTGAAACTACAGATTACTGTAATGTGTATGTGTGTGTGTGGCTGCTTGTACTCTGTAGGGAGTCGGTGAGACGAGGTGAAACTACAGATTACTGTAATGTGTATGTGTGTGTGTGGCTGCTTGTACTCTGTAGGGAGTCGGTGAGACGAGGTGAAACTACAGATTACTGTAATGTGTATGTGTGTGTGTGGCTGCTTGTACACTGTAGGGAGTCAGTGAGACGAGGTGAAATTACAGATTACTGTAATCATTACAGAACAATTTGTTTTATTACCAGATATTATAATAATAGGATTAAATTGCGTTCTTCAGTTCGGATTTGTTGACTTGTATTTCCGGAGTTACGTGATCGCGGTGATCAGCTGATAATGTTTTCTGAGATGGGGGAAAACATCATGTCATTGGAAAACTTGAATTTACTAAAAATGTTAGTAAATTTTGGGAGCCATGCTTTACCTCGCTTAACCGAAGTGCTCAATAACAAGGGAACACTGTACGTAACAACTTGTAATGTGTGTGAAAAGTCGTACGAAAATACGCAATTTGAAGGGGGCGTGGCCTAAATGCAAATGTCCGATTGGGATTTTAAATTTTCCGGACCCCTGCTGTAATGTGTATGTGTGTATGGCTCCTTGTACTCTGTAGGGAGTCAATGAGACGAGGCGAAATGGGGTTTAACATCGTGTTCCAGATTACTGTAATGTGTATGTGTGTGTATGGCTCCTTGTACTCTGTAGGGAGTCAGTGAGACGAGGCGAAATGGGGTTTAACATCATGTTCGAGATTACTGTAATGTGTATGTGTGTGTATGGCTCCTTGTACACTGTAGGGAGTCAGTGAGACGAGACGAAATGGGGTTTAACATCATGTTCCAGATTACTGTAATGTGTATGTGTGTATGGCTCCTTGTACACTGTAGGGAGTCAGTGAGACGAGGCGAAATAGGGTTTAACATCATGTTCCAGATTACTGTAATGTGTATGTGTGTATGGCTCCTTGTACTCTGTAGGGAGTCAGTGAGACGAGGCGAAATAGGGTTTAACATCATGTTCCAGATTACTGTAATGTGTATGTGTGTATGGCTCCTTGTACTTTTTAGGGAGTCAGTGAGACGAGGCGAAATAGGGTTTAACATCATGTTCCAGATTACTGTAATGTGTATGTGTGTATGGCTCCTTGTACTCTGTAGGGAGTCAGTGAGACGAGGCGAAATAGGGTTTAACATCATGTTCCAGATTACTGTAATGTGTATGTGTGTATGGCTCCTTGTACTTTTTAGGGAGTCAGTGAGACGAGGCGAAATAGGGTTTAACATCGTGTTCCAGATTACTGTAATGTGTATGTGTGTATGGCTCCTTGTACTCTGTAGGGAGTCAGTGAGATTAGGTAAAATGGGGTTTAACATCATGTTCCAGATTACTGTAATGTGTATGTGTGTGTATGGCTCCTTGTACTCTGTAGGGAGTCAGTGAGACGAGGGGAAATGGGGTTTAACATCGTGTTCCAGAAGACTGTAATGTGTATGTGTGTGTATGGCTCCTTGTACTCATCTGGACTATCCTACAACTGTTTATGTCAGATCAATGAAACTTGTTTGGGATTTTTTTGTTAATATGTCAAAAGATGGGGACTAAACGAAATTAATTTCCTAAAAATACTCTCAAAATAATTGCATAGCTCAAAATCACAACACATTTTTACAGCCTTTCACATTTAGAAAATTTAGTTAACTTTCCAATATAACATCAAAATAAGTTGATCTGGATTTAGAACACATTGAAACAAATTTTTAACTACTTTATCAAAACTTGCTGCTTGAAGCGAAAACTGTATCAAATTTAAAACTGTATCATCATCACATTTCCGAAAGAAATAATAAGAATATAGGTTGTGATACAGAACCTATGGGAAGAAATTCTGAAATGGCTTCCGCATCCCCCTTCTTTCCTTACACACGTCAGACTCGCTGACTTGGTTGAAGCATGTCATCAATCCCAATTACCGGTACGTGGATCGATGCTCATGATATCAATCACTGGATTGTCTGGTCCAGACTCGATTATTTACAGACTGCCGTCATATAGCTGGAATAGTGCTGAGTGAGGCGTAAAACAACAAACCAATCAACCAGCCAACCTTACACGCGTGTGTCTCACCTCCTCCTCAGCCTCTTCTTCCTCCTCGTTAGCATCAGCTTCATTGTCTTCCTCCTCTTCATCAATGTCCATCCCCGAGTACTCCCAGCCACAGTAAGCCAGCTGCCCTGTAGGAGAGTCACTCACATAATTAGTCACTGTTGGTAAACGCGAGTCAGCTAGGTTCTACCCTTCTCATGGCTCTGGGTGTAATCAGGACTTGGTCAGGAAAACCTGTGGCTGATAGCATAAGCACCAACTCATTCTGTAGGGTTAGATTACACAATCATCCAGGGCTCCGTTCCTCAAAGAGATCTTTGCGCGATCATAACTCCCATACTTTAATATAGACTTAACATAGCACTGAGATGGCTTTGTGGTACAGGGCCCCGGGGGTGGGGTGGGGTTGGGTGTGGGATGTGAGGTGGGGGGGTGGGGTGTGGGGATGTGGTGTGTGGGGGTGGGGTGGGGTGTTGGGTGGGTGGGGGGGTGGTAAGCATATTGTCATGCAGAGAAACTGGAGCAGTCAAAGTCAAATCTAGGACGACAATCATATTTGTTTCGTCATTATTGGATTTAAGTACTTTTCAAGGCTAAGTTTTCTTTTTTAACCATCTTGACACAACTCCTATACTTTTTACTTTTGACCACCAAGCCCTACAACAAGTAAAATTTAAAGACCACATTTGTATGTTTGTTTTTCTAGGCCTAAGGTCACAAAAAGTTCATTCTTAGAATTGGATTAAAATGTTGCTGGGAGGTCTTTTTTATGTTTCATCAAGTCAGGAAAGAAGGCAATGAGATTTTCTTCATCTGTAGATACATGTACTTGGGGACCAAAAAATGAGGCGAGGGAAGGTGAATGTTGTGAGATGAGCAGGAATGAAACTCTAATAATATATTTATTACGGTCTAAGTTTTGCATGTTTTCGAAGCCAAAATCAAATTCAATGGCTTTTCAAGCCCTATGTTAACAATAACACAGTGCAAAACATGCTTTATTCATGGTAGTTCATTATTAATGTATAATCACCATCAGGAAAATCAACGTTTGTTCTCACTTTCAACATTCTCTACCACATTCTGAAACATCTCCTCGATGTTCTTGTCATCAATGTCGACGATGATGAGTTCAATGCTGGTGCTGCCGGTGATGGTGCCGTGCACAGAGACAAAATCCTTGTCATGCTCCCCACGCAGCTTCTTAAACCCATCCATCTCGGGGCCATCTGGGACCTTCGTCTGGAAGGAGTTGTCAGGACAATACAACATATTACAATGTTCAATTGTCTGTGTCTCACGTTAGACCAACACCATACTTGCTTGACTAATACATCGTTTTATACCATTGTTAGCTATTTCCCAGCAATATCATGGCGGCCTGTATATAATGTAGTTTCGGCCAGGAACAACAATCCACACCAGCCACCCAATCCCCAATTATGTTGGCTATTTCAAACATGAGGTAACTGAAGATTTGATCTGTCCATGAAGTGCCACAAAGTTCTAGAAACGATTCCAGAATATACAAGAAAATAAGGCAAAAATATCACAAAATTCAGCATGCATTGATCACTTGTAGTACTGTGCCAAGCTTTGTATTGAGACCTAGGCTGTAACTGTGGCAACCAACCCAGTGGTTGATAGTATGAACATTGATCAATGTCATCAGCTTTAGGAATAAAAAATTCCCTATTTTCTTTTCTTTTTTTCAACAGCTTTTGGTTGTGGCATAAGTATCGTTTTTATCCTATTTTGCAGAAAAACTGTTACCAAAAGAATAAGCAAAACACAATGAAAAGTAATTAAAAAGTAAACATTACAAGGTCCCAGATTTGCAGGTGATATTAAGTATTTGATGCCTTCAAATTCATTTGCATGCTACAGTATTTACCGAGTAAACAGATTGAGGAGAAAACACAACTAGAACAAAGTTGTTCTGATAAATATTGATCAAACTACCGTATTCGACGTAATAAGCGCCCAGGGGGCTCTCAAAATTAGAAATAGGGGGCTCTTATTAGAATGTTATTTTGGTGGAAAAAAACAGTTGAAAGATAAATTTCGTGGTTTATGCTGACAGCCTGAAATGTTTATGTACGACAGATATATTTTTCCAGAATTAAATGCCCATAATTAAGGGTGCATATAACACATGAGTGCGTATTATACGCGAATAAATAAGTCTTGTGTACATTGATCAATCAGAAGGGGAGCTAATTGGGATTGTTCACCAGCCAATATCTTAGCAAATGTCACCGTGGGCGCTTATTAGAGCGGGGAGCTTATTACGTCGAATACAGTATTTCATCATTAATGCAGTATCCATTTCGAGATGTCAAATTAGCCCATGCAACATCTAGTCTCAGAATGGACACTGGACCTTAAAGTAGCCACCCCTTAACAACATTCAACCAATCAGACTGCATCCCATCATTTGAATTACATGTATAAAAACAGTGAAAATAGAAACCAAAAGATGACAACATACCTCATCTATTTCGGCAGGGGGAGCTTCTTCCTTCTCTTTTTCTGAAACCCCAAATTTAATTAAAAACATAATGTGCACTGATAAAGACAACAAACAATTCTCACACATGTGCTGTATGATGTTCAGCTATGTGAACAGGACATCCGCAGTAAGAAAGCATCATGCAAATGTTTTTTAAGTAGATATGAAATTTAGCTGTAACTACTGCATACCACGATCATACAGTTGCGTGCCAAGTAAAGAATCATTATTGAAACTTGTGAAAAATATTGTAACCATGGCAACATTTCACATCTTATAAGAAGCAGATGAAAAGTTTGATGAGTGATAGAAAACTTAATTCCTGAAGTTTGGATAGCAATCTCATTAAAATCAGATCTTAGTTGTCGCTACCGCTAAACAAAGATCTGAGGACATCCCATTTGGGGTCACGTCAGAACGACCTTTCATCCGACCAATCAGAGCGTCGCTTACCAGATCATGAAAGTGACAGTCGGAATGTGATTTCTCATCATACAGCTTCGAAAACTTCATAACGGGGTATTCCGAACGATAGTTACGGGCTTAACGGCTGAATCTATACAATCTAGATTATATATTAGCCATTCAAAATGTTCTTTTGTTCAGGTTTCAAATTTTTAAGTGAGAATTTGTCAAGCTATGTTTTGAAGCACGAGAAAGCTGCCTTCTGATTGGCTAATGTCGACTTTTTGTCAGTAATTCCATTGGTCGACCAGCGTTTGCAAAAGGTCGGTTTGACGTGACCCGTAATGGGATGTCCTCAGATCTTTGTTTAGCGGGAGCGAGAACTAAGATCTGATTTTAATGAGATTGTTTGGACAGCAAGTTTTTCATGTGACAAGAACAAATTTCCACAAAGGAATGCCAGTGCTAGTGTGTGGCATTGGTTTTACAGTGCTAGCCCACTGCTATACCATGACAATCTTAAATAGACACTGACACCACAGACCTTCTGCTTTCCGGGCAGACACTTTATCCACTAAACAACCGAGGTGAGGAGTCTTTTGAGGATGTCAACATTTTCAGAATTAAGTTTTCTAGGTTAGGGTGTTTTACATCTGACATCAAACCTTTAAAATGCTTCCTAACAGGTGAGGTGAAATGGGGTTTAACGCCAGGTCCAAGATTATTGCAATTATATAGCGACGTGCGTGCACGTGTGTGTGTGTGTGTGTGTGTGTGTGTGTGTGTGTGTGTGTGTGTGTGTGTGTGTGTGTGTGTGTGTGTGTGTGTGTGTGTGTGTGTGTGTGTGGCTGCTTGTACTAGTCTGGACGGATACCGATTTATAGTGCTAGCCCACTGAGATACCATGCCACAGTTTAACATGAATACCCCACTCGGACACAGTCTACTGACTCCGAGCCAACCAGTCCTTGTTAAAGCCCCTTAATGTCGAGCGCCAGACAGGGTAACAACAACCACATCTTTTAACGTCTTTTAGTATGACAGGGAACGAACCCTGGACCTTCGCTCTCCGGGCAGACGCTCTACCACTCGACCACGGAGCGGTCTGCTTCCTAACAAAGGCAAAAGAGTTGAGTTTCTCAAATTCTTTAGGTAACTTCTATTTCATACAGGACAATAAACCTAGAATATGACATGAGAATGAAATTCAAGTGCACACTGATCCATTGATGGGGTACTATTACAATGCCTTGGCTTGCTTCAGGGTCTGGATTTGGCACATTATAGGTGAGGTGAAATTGGGTTTAACGTCTCGTCCAAGATTATTGCACTTATATAGCGACGTGCATGTACGTGTATGTGTTTGTGTGGCTGCTTGTACTAGTCTGGACTGCCGATTTATAGTGCAAGCTCACTGAGATACCCAGCGTTAGAAATTGGGACTAGTCCTGTAGTACTTGCCAAACTGCCCAATGGTATTGGTATCATAAGGACTAGTAGAAATTTGCCATTTTTAAGGGTTTTCCTATATGTTATCATTATAAGGACTAGGGGCCGAAAACTGTTAGTTTCTAACCCTGGTATCATACCATGCCGCAGTTTAACATGAATATCCACCTCTGACACAGTATACTGACTCCGAGCCGACCAGTCCTTGTTTTATCCCCTTAATGCCGAGCGCCAGACAGGGTAACAACAAGTACCATCTTTTAACGTCTTTTGGTATGACGCGGCCAGGGATCGAACCCCGGACCTTCCGCTCTCCGGGTGGACGCTCTACCACAAGACCACGGAGGCGGTTTGGGCACATGATAAGTATGCCTATTATGATCATCATTATCCATGTCTTAAACTCACCAGCTGTTGTGTCCATCGTTTGATTTGGACTCGCTCCTTCAGATTTCTCATCATCATCTTAAACAACAATTCATAAATAAATAGTAATTCAGCTTTTATGCACTTTAAGTTCAATGAATCACCCTAGAACACACTTACCCCCAAACAATTGTTTATATCCTTGACATGGCACCAGTAAGTTCATCACAGCAAATTATGCTACAAATTCATCTGCATCTAAGTATCACTACAATCTAGAATTGTCTACAAAAAGCTAGAAAAAGGGTTGACAAAAGGCAACAACATCTACAAACAAAGAACAGGAACAACCTGCATGAAGCAAGCAGACCCAGCTCCAATGCCAGAAGTGCTACCTTTGGTATTATCCCCTGGCTGTGAGTCTTGGTCGTCGCCATCCTGAGACTGTCGATCGATGGACTGATTCCCGTTCTCACCCTCTTCACATCACGGACAGAAACACCAGCATTAATATAATGGAAGGGCTAACTGACTGGCAAGGTGCAAAAAATGGGGGTGGAGGGGGCTGTATGTAAACATAGGGTGCTGGAGGATAAAGTCATGGAGCAGATGGATAAAGTCATGAAGCTGGAGGGTAAAGTCAGGAAGCTGGGGGGGTAAAGTCAGGAAGCTGGAGGGTCAAGTAAAAAAGCTGGAGAGTGAAGTCATGAAGCAGATGGATAAAGTCATGAAGCTTGAGGATAAAGTTATGAAGCTGGAGGGTAAAGTCATGAAGCTGGAGAGTGAAGTCATGAAGCTGGAGGGTAAAGTCATGAAGCTGCAGGAAGAAGTCAGAAGGCTGGAGAGTGAAGTCAGGAAGCAGATGGATAAGTCATGAAACTGGAGGGTAAAGTCAGAAAGCTGGAGAGTAAAGTCATGAAGCTGGAGGGTAAAGTCATGAAGCTGGAGGGTAAAGTCAGAAAGCTGGAGAGTAAACCCTGGAAGCTGGAGAATAAAATGAGGAAGGTGTAGGGTAAAGTCATGAAGCTGTAGGGTAAAGTCATGAAGCTTGATGGTAAAGTCAGAAAGCTTGAGGGTAAAGTCATGAAGCTGGAGGGTAAAGTCATGAAGCAGGAGGGTAAAGTCAAGGAGCAGTAGAGTAAAGTAGGAGCGAAGAAGGGTTAAGTCAAGAAGCAGAAGGGTAAAGTCAAGGAGCAGTAGAGTAAAGTAGGAGCAAAGGAGGGTAAAGTCAAGGAGCAGAAGGGTAAAGTCAAGGAGCAGTCGAGTACAGTAGGAGCAAAGGAAGGTAAAGTCAAGGAGCAGAAGGGTAAAGTCAAGGAGCAGAAGAGTAAAGTCAAGGAGCAAAGGAGGGTAAAGTCAAGGAGCAGAAGGGTAAAGTCAAGGAGCAGAAGGGTAAAGTCAAGGAGCAGAAGGGTAAAGTCAAGGAGCAGAAGGGTAAAGTCAAGGAGTAGTCGAGGACAGTAGGAGCAAAGGAGGGTAAAGTCAAGGAGCAGAAGGGTAAAGTCAAGGAGCAGAAGGGTAAAGTCAAGGAGCAAAGGAGGGTAAAGTCAAGGAGCAGAAGGGTAAAGTCAAGGAGCAGAAGGGTAAAGTCAAGGAGCAGATAGGTTAAGTCAAGGAGCAGAAGGGTAAAGTCAAGGAGCAGAAGGGTAAAGTCAAGGAGTAGTCGAGTAAAGTAGGAGCAAATGAGGGTCAAGTCAAGGAGCAGAAGGGTAAAGTCAAGGAGCAGAAGGGTAAAGTCAAGGAGTAGTAGAGTAAAGTAGGAGCAAAGGAGGGTCAAGTCAAGGAGCAGAAGGGTAAAGTCAAGGAGTAGTAGAGTAAAGTCAAGGAGCAAAGGAGGGTCAAGTCAAGGAGCAGAAGGGTAAAGTCAAGGAGCAGAAGGGTAAAGTCAAGGAGCAGAAGGGTAAAGTCAAGGAGCAAAGGAGGGTAAAGTCAAGGAGCAGAAGGGTAAAGTCAAGGAGCAGAAGGGTAAAGTCAAGGAGCAGATAGGTTAAGTCAAGGAGCAGAAGGGTAAAGTCAAGGAGCAGAAGGGTAAAGTCAAGGAGTAGTCGAGTAAAGTAGGAGCAAATGAGGGTCAAGTCAAGGAGCAGAAGGGTAAAGTCAAGGAGCAGAAGGGTAAAGTCAAGGAGTAGTAGAGTAAAGTAGGAGCAAAGGAGGGTCAAGTCAAGGAGCAGAAGGGTAAAGTCAAGGAGTAGTAGAGTAAAGTCAAGGAGCAAAGGAGGGTCAAGTCAAGGAGCAGAAGGGTAAAGTCAAGGAGCAGAAGGGTAAAGTCAAGGAGCAGAAGGGTAAAGTCAAGGAGCAAAGGAGGGTCAAGTCAAGGAGCAGAAGGGTAAAGTCAAGGAGCAGAAGGGTAAAGTCAAGGAGCAGTCGAGGACAGTAGGAGCAAAGGAGGGTAAAGTCAAGGAGCAGAAGGGTAAAGTCAAGGAGCAGAAGGGTAAAGTCAAGGAGTAGTCGAGTCAAGTAGGAGCAAAGGAGGGTCAAGTCAAGGAGCAGAAGGGTAAAGTCAAGGAGCAGAAGGGTAAAGTCAAGGAGTAGTAGAGTAAAGTAGCAGCAAAGGAGGGTCAAGTCAAGGAGCAGAAGGGTAAAGTCAAGGAGTAGTAGAGTAAAGTCAAGGAGCAAAGGAGGGTCAAGTCAAGGAGCAGAAGGGTAAAGTCAAGGAGCAGAAGGGTAAAGTCAAGGAGCAGTCGAGTACAGTAGGAGCAAAGGAGGGTAAAGTCAAGGAGCAGACGGGTTAAGTCAAGGAGCAGACGGGTTAAATCTGGGAGGTGTAAATGCAAGCAAGTGAAGTACATTCAAGTACTTGCAGCTTCATGCAGCGTTACCATGCGAGATGCAGTTGCCGGTGATGCGGTGATGGTTATGACGGCTTGCGTCAAACTGAGTGTCGTAGGGTGAGTGAGAGGATGGGGCTGACAGACAGCCATATTACAGTGAGTAAGTCGGGTTAAAGCTGCTTTGAACAGTATTTCAGCTATCTCCTAGTCCAAGTAAAGTGTGAGAAAGCCCACAGTGAGGAACGTCAAACACATCTACAACTAGGTGAAACAACTGACTGATCAAAGGTTCGTAATTAGGGAAAAGCTAGGATTTGAACCAAAGATCAGAATATCCTGGAACATCTAAGGGATGCAACTGCACTGAGTGAACTGTGGCTCTAAGATCAGCTAGGCCCAATAGGAACCGTGACTGAGTGTTCTCAGCAATAATGGCTTGTGAGCAAGTGGACATCAAAACATATCACTGCCTGTTAATTGAACCTTAAAAGAGCCACTGATGCTGTTTTTACTGGTTGATAATGGAAGCAACATCCCTAATCATCAGGGCATGCTACACAATCATCCAGGTCACTAACTGGAACCACTCAATCTTCAATAATCACCTCCTGCAAAAAGCATGGGGACATGGTCCAAGAAACTGTGCCATGAACAGTTTGCACGAGTCAACTTTAAACTAATGTCCATTACCTACAGCCTTTGTTATCAGTCATATCCCCATTTAGTCACTACATTCAACATGCAATCAAAGAGAACTCGGGAAGGAAGGATCTAGGCAACAGAAAGAATCTGAAAGGAGGGCCCTTTGACAATCTGTGAATGAATGCTGTTTAACACCAGATGCTGAAAGTACTGGATGCCTATTCTGGTCCACAGATCGAGGACAAGACCTGATCAAGACATGACCCGATTTTAGGCTGCCCTTTTAACAAACATGAAGTACTGGAGGCCTATTCTGACCCCAGATGAGACCAAAATCTGATCAATTGGGCCCGAAGACACCTAATCCCAATTTTAGGCTGCTCTTTCAACAAACATGAAGTACTGGATGCCTATTCTGACCCCAGATAGGACGAAAATCTGATCAATTGGGCACGAAGACACCTAATCCCCATTTTAGGCAGCTCTATCAACAAACATGAAGTGCTGGATGCCTATTCTGATCCCAGATGGGGAACAAGATCTGATCAATTGGGCACAATGACATCCAATCCCCATTTGGGGCTGCTCTTTCAACAAACATGAAGTACTGGAGGCCTGTTCTGACCACAGGTGGGGAACAAGATATAACTTGAACAGAATTTTATGATTTCTAACGACAGAGAAGCAGCATCACCAGATATTTACTAGTCCGAATTAAGATACATAAGGACACCACCTAAACTGCACGTAATTCTACTAGCTCATAGGTATCTTTAATAGTAGACAAACAGACCTCAGCAAATACCATGATTACACCAAAATAATGACATCTTGCATCCCTGTAATGACTCCAACCAAAATAAGAAAAAGAAAATAATGACTGCTCAAGACCACGAGTGAGTACTGCTTAATCAGCAAAAATTATTTCAGATTTCACAATAAGCCTTGCAGTCCTGGGTGACAAGTCTATTCTGGCATTTAACTGAAGATGGTGAATATATTTTGGTAAAGACAAGCAAAGGTTTCATACATGCACTGATAAAATCTAAGATAAAATAACTATATACATGAATACACAGCAATATATATAACTCCATTTCCCGTGTTAGTAGAAGCTATAGAAAAACATGCAAGGCTGTTGCACTGGTGCTGTCCATGCTATAGTATGTGCAACCTATACCAGACTGTTGCACTGGTGCTATTTACGCTATAGCGTGTGCAACCTAAACCAGGCATTATTCTTGACTGGTGCAACATGGAAACACAATCTGCATAAAATTGTAAAACATAAAATTAGTTGCTATGACTACCACAATGGCTCAATGTTATTGTTTCTAGTTGAAAATAATTTGAAATAAACAAGCCTCACACAATTAATAACTGGAATTTGTTTTTCAGATATTCCTGCGGATTATGTGGATCATTTATTAATAGAGAACATGAATTTTTTTGAATGTTTTGACATTTTCTCTCAGCAGTTGTTAATATTGAGGGTGCCAACTCCCTCTTCCACAGAGTCATGAATACCATCTAATTTATTACTGTCATTTCTCACCCAGAATACCACATACAGGAAGCAAATCTTGAAAGCATTGAGAAATGGGGAAGATTAATAGCTTAATTACTGAAAAAAAAATCATATAAAGGAAATTTTTATTTATTTATTTTCATTGTTGAATCTGTGTACCAAATACAATTTTATTTGTGTCTTGCATACAACACTCTCATTAACACTTAAGGGCAGATTTGAATGACACCTTCTATTTCGAACGGATTACACCAGAGAAAAAGCAGACATTTGTGCACGGCAAGAGAACATTTTAAAGTCTTAGTAGAAAAATAGCAGAATATACTAACTAAATTGTGCACACTAGATGTATATATACATAATGTAACACCACGCCAAAATCTGTACACGTACGACCAGCAATACCAATAATTCTCCGTGTTGTGTAATGCGACAAATTCAACAAAGCTGTTGTTTTGGTAATATCATTAGGATAGTTTCTATGGTGTTCACTGCACGAATTGTGTTTTCTTATTTCAATATGTCTTCCACTTTTGAATGGGGATTGATTTTATTCCGATATATGTTATATTGAGCAAAATCATTCTCTTTTTCTGTTGAAAAATGATGATGTCAAATTTCAGTGTCTTTTTTTTTACATTTGTACAGGTAACATGACCTTTAAATCACACAGAATTGATAGATATGGCTGTAGCATACAGTGAAGGATATATTTATGGTTATGTATAAGAAATAATAAACATTGCGTACTTGTGGGCCTAAATGTGCTCATTTAACCTGCGTGTCTGTCATGCAAATTGCCTCCATTTTTGTGTAACCTGTTCATAATGGAGAGTGTAATTCAAATCTGGCGTTCAGCGATTCCAACTCTCGACACTCCTGAGTCCCAAGTACCCCCTGAATCCTGTGTACCAAAAGAGGGTTGGCAGCCTCAATATTGCATGTTTGTTTGTTTGTTTTTTGTTTAACGCCGCACTCAGCAATAATCCAGGTATATGACAGCGGTCTGTAAATAACCAAGTCTGGACTAGACAATCTAGTGATTGAGAACATGAGCATTGATCCACGTAAATTGGATATGATGACCTGCAACAATCAAGTTAGTGAGCATGACCACCCAATTCTGTTAGTCGCCTCTTACGACAAGCATAGACGCCTTTTACAGCAAGCATTGGTTGCTGAAGACCTATTCTACCCCAGATGTTCACTGGTTGAATATTGCATGAAATGATGGCATGTTAATGATTTCTCTTTTCTATTGCAGAACCTTCACAAAGACAGGTAAATATATATTCAAACATATCAGATGTGAATTTACCCCAAAAGACCTCCAGTAAGCTTTGCTATAAAAAGTCTAAACATGAACACTAACATCATTTGAAAACAATGTCAAGGGGCAATTTTGGTCAAGTTGAATAAATGTTTTTGGCACAGACTGACTGTACGCTAAAATTGGCCAAGTTTACAGAAATTCTGCAGAATCATGGAAATTCCACCACAGTAAAAGCACAATTCTGTGTCTAAATCTACTATTGCAAAATTCTCAATTTGGTTCAAGGTTCTCTAGTCATGTCATGATGATCCATGTTTCATATCGGCAAGTTTTAACCATCATCACATTTGTCATACACCAACACCCCTAACACTGACCTGCTTTCAGCCCACATAAAGATTTCTTCTTCCATTCTTCTGTGTATCTTACCTTCTGGGAAATCTTCTCCTTCCTCTATTCTTCTCCTTCGTTCTTCCTCTGCTGCCCGTCTTATTGCTTCCTCTCTGGCTTTCTTCTCCTCCGCCTCTTTTCTTCAAGTGCAAAGGGTTGGAGTCAGTAAATGTTCAAACATAAACCAAACTACATTCAACCATTATACTGGTGGCACAGTTCTCATTTGATTGAAAATGGAAATTCAAACTACCAAGGGATGCAGCAAATGTCTGGATACACATCATACAATTACCCAAATCGGAATGTTTGAAACAGTCCTTAAAAATACTGGTTGGAGTTCTAATAAAAGTGAAAAGATGTGAGATGCATTTCTTGTATGGCCTATTTATTGAAAGAAACTGATGACAGCTCCATCTTTTGGGATGTTTAATGAGAGCCAGGTCATAACCTCAATACACAAATCCTCAATAATTGGGGGCACATATCATTGTCTGTGTCTACAAATTCCCTAACTGTCCCTATAATGAGGGCCATATCAAGATGCTGGTTCCTGACTGTGCTTGCACTGCAATGTCTTTAAATTGTGACAAGCCACATTATATTCTATCAGGCCACAACTTGGGATTTATTTTCCCCATATCAAATAGGAATCAGTCCCAATAAGAAACATTGGTAATTTGATCTGAATCTCCCTATTTAGTATGAATCTTCGGATATTGATCAAAGTAATGAATTGAGCTCCCACACTAATTAGCAATAACTGTAGCAAGACGTTGATGTAACAATGACTTTCCATGACTTTCTAAATGACACAAGAATCTTTCTTTTCTTGCCCACCCTCTCCCCTTTCATAAAGACCCATGAAGATTCCGGGGTAGAACAGGTCTTCAGCAACCCATGCTTGCGTAAAAGGCGACTATGCTTGTTGTAAAAGGCGACTAATGGGATCGGGTGGTCAGGCTCGCTGACTTGGTTGATGCATGTCATATGATGCATGATGCATATCCCAATTGCGTGGATCGATGCTCATGATGTCAATCACTGGATTGTCTGGTCCAGACTTAATCATTTATAGACCACCGTCATATAGCTGGAATATTGCTGATTGTGGCGTTAAACAACAAACCAACCAACCAACCCTTTCATAAAATTACATATAGATCTTAGTGACAAACGACCCATATACCTTCTTGTTATTGAAAGACTCATGTATATTGTAAAGTGCACCCAGACACACCACTGAAGGTTAAAATTATAAAAAGTCAAATCCCCCTTTTATAATGTCCAGGATCTGCCTCTACTGGCAAAAATCACATAAGATTCTGGAGGAATGCAACACCCTCACCTTTTCTCCTCCAGTTGCCTCTGTTTCTCTTGTTCCTCCGCCTCTCTGCGGACCTTGATCTTGCCATCGATCTCCTCCTTGTTCATGTCGTAGTAGCGCTGGTTGAGGAAAACACCGTTGTCACTGTTGTCGTTGAGGATGATGACATCGTCAGGAAGGATGTTCTTCTCCACGCAGACGTTCCACTGTTCACGGTTGCTGGGGAAGTTGTCAAGGATCCAGCCTCCGTTCCTGGAAATGACAAACACACAGTTGGACTGTGGTGACAGTGTCTAACAGAGGGTGGATACGGTAACGATCATTGCTGCAAGAACATCTGGAACCTGGGAGAATAGTAGTGTTGTGTTTCTGCTGAATGCTGCAGTCTGCACATCTTCCTGAGGCAGTTAACTATGAAAGTCATCTTTCCACCCTTGACAAACTAGGCCGGAATTATAGAGTTATTTTTTTATGCATAGTCCAATCATTATCGCAGGACGAAATCAATACTGACAATGGTGCTGACAAACCTAGAAACAAAATTGGGGCGAACCGGGATTCGAACCTACAATCATAGGTTTCTGGCATGCCCAAGGGACGCAACTCTGCACAACGAATTCTGCGCCTTAGACGACTGGGCCACCTGTGCCCCCTCTAATATACCAATAGGAATGTTGAGTTGGTGATATCATCAACATGGCAGTACTAGTTACCTCCCTTACCCATTTCCTTTTTCCTCATCTCTACGTTTGATTGGTTGGTAAAATGTTAATTAAAATCAAGGACGGGTAGTTTGAGATCACGACAACCACGGGAATGGATCCAGGGGGGAGTATAGGTTTACCTAAATGCGAGCCCTGGCGATAAAGAGGGCGTGCTGTCACGTGATATACGAGTCCTTAGCAACAAGGGAGATAATCAAATCAGGGTCAACATTACAACAGAGTACATCTTGCAGAGCTACATGCCTGTATATAATTACAAGACATGGTCACCTTTTGTCACAATTTTCTGCTCAGTGGTATAGCTAATAGAATGAACTTTGAATACCCTGGCTAATCAAGGCTGTTTCTCCCCATGACCTCCCTAAAACTCAAACTCACATAGGTCCTTCAGGGTTGTTCTTCCTCAGCTCTCTCTCGCAATCCTTGATGGCCGCCTCCATGACCTCGATGTATGCCTCAGGCGGCATCTGTACTGGGTTCTTCTCCGCCTCCTTCACAGCAGCCTCAACTATGGCGATGACCTCAGGGTGTGTGCCATCGACCTCTACCGGCTTCTCTTCCTTTGTCTCCACCTTTGTCTCGCTCTCCTTCTGACTGCCCTCACCTTCTGGCTTATCTCCCTTGGCTGTAATAACCATTGCAAGATGATTATAATTTTATTTTTGTCTTTCTAAAATAAAAATATAATTTATACGTATTTTATTTCAACAATAAAATAACAATTCTCAGTATTCCTAAGACTGAAGTACAAGAATGATTCACACAAAAAACTGGAATAAATATACATAATATTTAGAATCAAGTGAAAATTGTAACATTTTTTACAGTTTTCAAAATGAATGAGCATCTCAGGGACATGTCCCTCTAATACTGACAAGGACCAGTTACATTTGGGGTGGCATGCATCCCGAGGATCTGCCTCTCCAACACCAGACACTGACACAACAGAGCGCTGACTAGATCTTTCTCATTGTTACTGAATAAACATGTTTTATCCTACCTGACTTTCTAAAATACATAATTTGAAGTTATTAATCAATACTTAATATTTACATTTTAAAAAAAAACCAAAACACCCATGTTCAGCGAATTATTGAAACAATAACACCGGTATTGCTGCTTGAATCAGCCGTGTATTGTCACGTGACCACTAGCGGCCATTGTCGTAATACTTTCATACAAGTTTCTTCCACTTTTTTTAATTATTTGAAATATTTGAAACAAAAAATCACAAATACAATCTTCAACTTTTGAATATTTGTACATGTTTAAACTTTGTGGTAAAATCTTGATAATTAATGGAAATGTAAAATGTGATCGATATCCCTTATACAGACTGAAACACAAGTAGAAATCGAAGGAAAAGAAATGGTCTTAAAATTTTGAATATAATATACATTGTTTGAAATATAAACCTTGATATGATGTCTCTTCAAAAACGGACTGGTAGAAATACTAGAAATATGGCATGGTTTACGAAACCCTAATAAACAAAACGTCAGAACTTGAGATAAGCTGCGTATTTGTGTAAAATACGCAAATATGAACTGAAACACACAGACAAATCTGATCCTTGCGTATCAAATATGCAACAAAAACTATAAATATGCTATTGAAATAAAACTAATGCATATATTACAACTATTAGATAAAACCAATGAGTATATATATTACAACTGTTACAAATGTCATATTAATATTTAAAAACAAAATGAAAGATGCATATCTCAATATACTCATTCTTAATACATATATATTCAAGCTAAGTCAAATATTGATGAGTAAATATTTTAATTTTTTGTAAGTGTGCCCTTGATAGGCAAACTGTAAAGCATGCTGAAAGTGTAAGAACCTTTTCTAAAATGAACGTAAGTATTTGAAGAACGTTTATGTGTCTACCATCAGCTTGTCTTACATGTGTTAGATTACAATGAAAACATGATAGTCATTGCAGTCTTAAACAGGGGTCAATTTAGCTGCTGGCCCGTTGGACCGTGGCTAGTTAAAATTATGAAAGACTTGCTGAAACATAAACTAGATGGCCCGTCTGGCTAGTCAAATTTTACCCCTTCTCTGAGTATGTTTAATTTTTTTTATTGGACACTGCTCGTGAGTCAGTCGTGTGAATGGTTAACTCAAAGATCATCCTGGTAGAATGACACAACCAGCAGACATTTTGTAATGGTCTGTACAACAACTTCTTTATTTGTTCATAAAAGTGTCATGAAATGAGGCAAATGAAGTCAAGATTTAATCTCAGTGCAGGAAATGATGTTTTAGGGGTGAGGAGTTCTAAACTTTTGGGGGCCCTGTGGGTAGCTCAGTTGTGGCCTCCAACATTTAGTTTAGAAGGGCCAGTTAGTTTGAAGAAGGGCCAGTTAGTTTGGAGAAGGGCCAGTTAGTTTGCAGAAGGGCCAGGCAGTTTGGAGAAGGGCCAATTAGTTTGGAAAAGGGCCAGGCAGTTTCGATAAGGGCCAGTTAGTTTGGAGAAGGGCCAGTTAGTTTGCAGAAGGGCCAGGCAGTTTGGAGAAGGGCCAATTAGTTTGGAGAAGGGCCAGTTAGTTTGGATAAGGGCCAGTTAGTTTGCAAAAGGGCCGGTTAGTTTTGAGAAGTGCCAGTTGGTTTGGAGAAGGGCCAGTTAGTTTGCAAAAGAGCCAGGGAGTTTGCAAAAGGGCCAGTTAGTTTGGAGAAGGGCCAGTTAGTTTGCAGAAGGCCCGGTTAGTTTGCAGAAGGGCCAATTGGTTTGGAGAAGGGCCAGGGAGTTTGCAGAAGGGCCAATTAGTTTGGAGAAGGGCCAGTTAGTTTGGATAAGGGCCAGTTAGTTTGCAGAAGGGCCAGTTAGTTTGAAGAAGGGCCAATTAGTTTGGAGAAGGGCCAGTTAGTTTGCAGAAGGGCCAGGCAGTTTGGAGAAGGGCCAATTAGTTTGGAAAAGGGCCAGTTAGTTTGGATAAGGGCCAGTTAGTTTGGAGAAGGGCCAGTTAGTTTGCAGAAGGGCCAGGCAGTTTGGAGAAGGGCCAATTAGTTTGGAGAAGGGCCAGTTAGTTTGGATAAGGGCCAGTTAGTTTGCAAAAGGGCCGGTTAGTTTGGAGAAGGGCCAGTTGGTTTGGAGAAGGGCCAGTTAGTTTGCAAAAGAGCCAGGGAGTTTGCAAAAGGGCCAGTTAGTTTGCAGAAGGCCCGGTTAGTTTGCAGAAGGGCCAATTGGTTTGGAGAAGGGCCAGGGAGTTTGCAGAAGGGCCAATTAGTTTGGAGAAGGGCCAGTTAGTTTGGATAAGGGCCAGTTAGTTTGCAGAAGGGCCAGTTAGTTTGGAGAAGGGCCAGTTAGTTTGGAGAAGGGCCAGTTAGTTTGGAAAAGGGCCCGTTAGTTTGGAGAAGGGCCAGTTAGTTTGGAGAATGACCAGTTAGTTTTGAGAAGGGCCAGTTAGTTTTGAGAAGGGCCAGTTAGTTTTGAGAAGGGCCAGTTAGTTTTGAGAAGGGCCAGTAACTTTTGAAAGCAGCAAGCCCTGCTGGCACCATACAAATTTGTTGTTAAATCTACCCCAGGTTAAAGCTTGAGATGAATGCTCCGTTCCACCACAGGCAGATGTGTGCAGTGTATTAAAGTGCTTGTGTTTGTCCATATACAAAAGTGTTGTTCAGTCCATACATGACAGTGCTATCTTCGTACAACCGTGCTGACAATATATGACTGCTCTGTCCATATAGGAATGTGCTCTAGTATCACTGTTCCTGTCAATATATGATCGTATACAATATATGAGTGTGCTCCTCCTCTCCATATGATTGTGCTCTGTAAATATAGGACTGGTCTAAACGATATCATGTAACACAAGTAATTCCCATGTCAATCATTTATAAATCCACCTCCCACCTCCGCCTTATTGCTATTCAGCAGCATGGCTATATGACAGCATGGTTGTACAACAGCATTGCTATACAACAGTGTGGTTATACAACAGCATAAATTATGCAACAGAATGGTTATCAATAGCACAACTATACAACAGCATGCTTAAACAGCATAATTATAAAACAGCAAAGTTATACAACAGCATGATTATCATTCGTGACCAACTCATGTTATCCCGGGACAAGCCGAATGGCGACTCGTACCCCTCTCGTGGCCATTTTTGCAACCTGGTTCCGTCTCAGCGCAAACGGGCATACCTAAAACAATTGTCAGCTCGTTGCGCAATGGTTCACATACTTGAATATTTCCCCATTTATTATTTATATTTCAGATGCAATTTAAAGCACATCAGGACATGCGGAATTATACAGTATGATTGAACACATTTAACTGTGTCTTGGGTATATTTTTAGATGCAAAACATATGTAAAAACAGAAATTATTTCTGAGGGATTCTTTGACGAAGAACAGATTCTGATTGGTTTGTCGTATTTTCACACATAACATTCATCGATAGGGGGACGAGTCTTCTTGTAGGTTACGGAAAGGGGCGAGTGGTGCCGAATGGGGGACGAGTCTTCTTTCAGGTTACGGAAAGGGGCAAGTGGTGACGAATGCATGATCATGGCACAAAAGAACAATACCCATCCCTGAAAACCAAAACTCTGTCACATCCTACTCCGGGAAACTGCTACAGAAAGCCTTGTACTGTAAGCTACAGATCAACCTGTTTTAACCAATCAGATTGTAATCTTCTGTTAGATTACAGAGCCAATCACAGCTCATCTCTTATTATACCTACAAAGCTGATATTTTTGTAATCACTTTGCTTGAATCTGCAGACACAAAATTTCAGAAAAAAGGGGGAAAAAAACAAACTATTTCTTCAGTAATGAAATTGCAGGTAAATTCTGGGGAGGAAAGGACAGTCCTTCTACTACAAAACAACATAGTTTCATTTTCATATATATTTCAACCAGTTTGGGAAATAAATGTAAATAAGTGATTTTAAATATGGATTCCATCATAAATATGAAAACAAGGATATATGGGGCGATTTTGTGTCATCAGTTCCTTTGCACTGATAAAATGTCCATATAACTAATTGTTCTTGTTATTCTATCTCATGTGGATGGAGGTGCTCCAAAGCAGTTTACCAGATAAAGTGGAACTATATTGAACAAACAAACTTAGGAATCATGCACGTTGTTGGGGATATTTTTTTTTATGAAATTGCGTGCTTAGTCTTAACTATAAACAAATATTTAAAAAATCATTCATGATCCCTTCTTTCTTTGTTCAATATATATGTTTTTCAGGATGCATCAAATTATGACGGTTGTTTAATAGTTGTCAGTATAGTGTAGCAACAGCAAAAGGATTATATCAAAGCAGGATTAGGATTATGTCAAAGCAGGATTAGGATTATATGGCGGCTTGGTTTCACATCAGAGTGTTGACCTTCAGAAGGATTTTCAGCAGCTTCTACTTTCTCTCCATCTGTTTTTCCTTCCATCTTCTCTCCATCTCCTTCAGCTGTTCCATCCTGGGTTGGAGATTTAGGTTTGTCTTCCTCCCCACCTTTAGCCTCCCCATCAGGCTTTTCCTCTTTCTCTCCATCCACTCCTTTCTCCGTGACAGCTGATGCCCGCCCTGACTCTATGTTAGGTGAAGGTTAAATAGACTATCAAACTACCATGTGTGTCTGGCTAATACTAAGTGTACGAGAAGTCAAACACAGTCAAACACTGTTGTGTCAAAGTAGAAGGGACCCTAGTAAATACTTCGAGTTTTTCGAGGTTTGACACAACCGAAAATGATGCATAAAGAATGAATAGGCACGGCCCAAGCTCTTATTTCGAGACAACCGTACGTTTGACAGACAAAAGTTCAACACAATGGTGTTTGACTGAGCCAGCAAATGAAGCTGGTATGCTGATGAGAGAGATAATTCTACAGTTTCTAAATGTGTATTCAAACACCGACAACCGTGAAACACAACCTGTAGAAGAGGGGTTGGGAGTGCAAATTCAAACTTTGCAGCGCACAAACCTTCTGGGTACCAAAATGTCTGAAGCTTTACAGTGCGCCTAGTTATTCTAGATAGTACTATTCCCATTTTCCCCATGTGGGGAATCAAACCCAGACGAGCGAACGCTTTAACCACTAGGCTAACCCACCGCCCCTCTTTGAAAGGAAGGGCAAATCTTTTTTTTAAATTCACAAGATAAGAACTATTTAATTTGGGGGCTAAAAACTGAGGACCATTTCTTCTAAATATTTTTCTGAAGCAAACTACAATTTCATAAAAATCTGTTCAACAAAGCACTACTTTAGGGGACAATTTAACAAGGACCACATCTAAATAAGATTTTAGATCATACAAGAAAAATAACATCACACTTAGACAAAAAAACAAACCCTAATATTCTAAGGTACATAAGTAAGAATCCAAAAGTGTATAAAATGGGGGGTGTCTTTGAAGAGACAGTAGTCCCCATGAGTTCTGGACAAGAGTCGGCCTGTGTGGGTCACTTAAAAAAATATTCTTCTTTCTCAAGACTCTCAAAGCTGACTGAATAAGGAGGGTGGATTATATTTTCTTATTTCATTTATAAGAAGGTTATAAGTCTGTAAGAGTAAACTTGTATGTAATTTACCATATAATTGAGAGTGTTGTCGATGCCATGAACCAAGTTGATCAACTTGATAAATATATGTTTAGATGAATATTCAAATGAGGTCACCTTGTTCTACTTTTGATAAGCACCATGCATCCAGCCAATAGGTTTGGATATATATTCCTCGGTGTGGGTGTTTTTGTATACACACAACTTCAAATCATTTGGCACTATAAAATAAAAGGGGCGTTTCACGCTAGCATGGTATTCATACATGATTTTTAAACTTATTCAGTGAGAGAAATTATGTCTTAAAAAAAGATTCTTTTGAAGAATGACATTGTATGATATTTTTATTTTCAAGAGACACCTTTGTGTTTCTGTATCGAAAATATCAAATATCAGGAATAAAACATATGTATTTTTCTCACCAAAGGCTAACATAATACAGTTTCTGATATATGATATCTATGATATGGTGAGTAGAGTGAGTGAGTTGGGTTTAACGTCACATTTAACAGTATTCCAGTTATATCACGGCATGACAGCTTAATGTGGGTGGAAAGCCCGAAGTGATGCAGGTCTCAAACGTTTTCCACATCAGTTAAGCCCACAAGCACGGGTATGGTGCTGACAAACCTAGACACATAATCGAGGTGAACCAGGATTCGAACCCACAATCCTAGGTTTCTGGCGTGTCCAAGGGACGCAACTCTGCATAGCGAATCGTGGTGCCTTAGACAACTGGGCCACCCGTATCCCCCCTTTATGATATGGAAACACTTGAATAATAATCACTATTTACCATTATTTGGCCACTAACTTCGACACGAAGTACACAGAAATGTGTCTAAGACCATGGTGACTACTAGGCTGTTTCCTGACAATATAACTTGCTACGAATAGCATGGCATGTTAAAAAAGTCAGAACCTAAGCAAAAACGAAATTTGAATTGAAACAGTTGTTTCCTAAAAGTGAAAACAAGTATTTTGAAAAATTAGGAGCAGGGTAATTTTAGAAGTGGGTTGGTCATGAGAAACTGAAAAATATTTTAAGAAGCTTTTTATGAGCTGCATGTGTTGTTATTCTGTTGCCTAGTTACCTTTTGAAAGTTTAATGAGTTAGTGAGTGAAAGGGTGAGGCTGATGACAGTTACATAAAGATCCAGCACATTTACAATTCTTTGTAGACAACTGGTGTTAATAATAGATGCATCGCCACTTAACAGTCCGCCCTGATTGCTGCAAGCCTGGGAACGAGGTGCTGTGTGGAAAACAGGCACGGGGATGGTCGGTAAACAGACTCGCTTCATTATCCAATTCACTCCCCTTCGAGGGAATCTTTACTTTTTTTCAAAAGGAATTTGTGATGATCTTTGGAAAGTAGGTTCACTCATACGTCTAGAGCAGTTTGAGCTCAGTGTACGGAGATAGTGCGTTCCTTGAAGTATCCAGCGTTTTGACAGGGTCTTCATAGACAGGACTTAGGACCATGTGAGACTTTAGAATTTGGATCAAATGAAAAGATCTTGGTAATTTGGAATCATGTGAATGGGTCTTTTACCATGGTAACTATTTGGATCTTGTGAAAAGGTATTTTTACTATTTGGCTGATGGGAATAGGTTTTTTTACTGTTTGGATCTAATTGAATCATGTGAAATGGTCTCTTTTCTAATTTGGATCTTGGGAAAAGGTATGTTTACTATTTGGCTGATGGGAATAGGTCTTTTTACTATTTGGATCTAATTGAATCATGTGAAATGGTCTCTTTTCTAATTTGGATCTTGGGAAAAGGTCTTTTACCATTTGGCTGATGTGAATAAGTCTCTCTACTATTTGGATCTTTTGAAAAAGTATTTTTACTATTTTTGATCATTTGTCCGGAGTCCATTGATAAAACAGGTCAACTATACCAAGCTCAGGAAAACAGACTGTAAATTTTATTGAGGCATTCTCCCTGCAATGGCTAAACCTTCAACTGATTCAGACACATCCAAGGACACCCAACATGCCAACAAACATCACCTTGAAAGTACAGCCCATGAAGACAGGTAGGTAAGTGTGTGCCTGTGTGCTGTGACACTGACATTCTCCACTCAATATTTTCAGATTATGAAACAGTCTCTCCATATTATCACTCTGTCTTAGTTTATGGACCAGGGCCCACTCGCACAAAGCGATCTTAGCCTTACGACTATCGTAAGCCAGTGTTAAAGTATGGGACTTACGATCACCTTAGCGCTAAGATGGCTTTGTGGAACCGGGACCAGAGCAGTACCTAATTTGGAATATTTTATACCTATAGAAATATTCCTTGAATCTACCCCCAATTTTTTTCATATTACCTCATTGAAATAACAATTACATCACAGTTACACATAGTTATTTTTTAAATGTCCTAATCTTACTGAAAGCTTTGATGAAGCTATTTACACTCATGCTTCTAAAATTCTGTCTACTCTAAGCTACATCATGCAAAAAAGTATTGTAACAAATAGGGCTTGGATGGGTAACTCAGGTACCTGGGTCGGGTGGGTACTGAGTAGGACCCGGGTACCCACAGGACTACCCGGACCCGTGGTTAGTCACATGATATATTGTTTAATGACAAAAGATATCTAGAACTCTATGGTTACACTACAAGTCACTAATGTTTGCATTTCTTTCTGACTATGCACCCATTCCTTCTGACTTTTTAAATGGTTGAATAAAGATATAACTTAAGTCAACTTCAGTGTATGCATGACCAGATCGTTTAATACATGTATCTAACTACGTTTTGCAAGTGCTGTGGTAAAAACAAATACCAAATCGGACATTTTGTATCTCTTGAGACCAACGGCGGGTACCCGGGTAGGGTCGGGTATTAGGGGGGGGGGGGGTACCCAGGTAGTAAATTTGGACTCGTCCCAGCCCTAGTAACAAACTAGAAACACTACATCTAAGACAAGGCACTAGCACACTTCATGCAAGGATCTCAACACAGGTACACAGTGCTCAGGGCCCACGAAACGATCTTAGTGCTAAAGTATGGGAGTTACAATCATCTTAGCGCTAAGACCGCTTTGTGGAACTGGGCCCTAATTCTAACTAGTTTAGACTAATCCACATTTCCAGTTGTACACAATATATATCATCACAAATTTGATTAAGTCAATAAACTTTAAAAAAATACATTTTACATATGTAAGAATACCCAGAAGAACAGTTTGGATGTACTGTTGTTCACTTTCAGAACTGTAAAAATAAACTGAGTATTTTGTTTTTAGGTATATTTTTGACCCAGAGAGCTCTTTCTTTGGAAAAAAGATCTCAAATGTAAAATGGCAAATCTAAAATTCAAATATTACCTTTAAATTTATTTAAAACAATGATCACTTAAACTGTGTACAACAGGATAGGAGGAGATACTATGACAAACAGTTGTCACAATTGTCACACTCTCACCTCCATCTTTAGTAGACTTGTCCTCCTTATCTTCATCATCATCTAACACAACAAGCAACAGTTGATAAATACTTACATAGAACTGGCTATTAGTTATTAGAACTTTGGCTTTAACTTCATAAAAAGTTCATAGAACTGTTGTTTTTTTGTGCATAGAACTTTGGCAATTGGTTCATAGAACTTTGGCTTTAACTTCATAAAAAGTTCATAGAACTGGGGTTTTTTTGTGCATAGAACTTAAGCAATTGGTTCATAGAACTTTGGCTATTAGTTCATAGAACTTTGGCTATTAGTTCATAGAACATACACTGTTCTGACAGCACACAGGCTATTTAGGATCAGTTTGTTTCGTATCAAGAAATATTGAGAAAATCTGGCCACAATGCCTTCCATACGCAGCCAACAGTAAGAATAATTGATGTGATTGTGGATACGTATAGATGTAATCAATTAATTGTGTCATGAAATTCAGAAACTATTTCTTTACGACAAACACAGTACATTTCCCTGAATGAACACACACGCAAACACAGAAATGGGTATTAATTTTGGATTAGCAATCAGGGCTAGATCGAGATCAATAAGATGAGAAACACACAAGCAACCCAAGGTGGGTCCAGAAAGACGTGCACAAAGATTTCACAGAGGATCAACACATGTTGTTTAGACCAAAACACTGAGTACATAGTGAGGTGTCAATTGGTATTAAACAGGAGCAAGTTTAGTATTTCATGTTGATACCACTGTATAATAACAACAAGCTGGTATGACACAGTGTTGAATACCAAAGCGTGTGATAATGTACTGAGGTAACAAGTTTCACTGACAAATATTAAAAACTCCCAACATCCCTGGGCTTATTCAATGACATTGTGTGTAGAGATGATTGATCACTGAAAGGAGCTTATGCACACTTGATGACCCACGCAACCCTGTCTCAGCTCCTTAGCACTACAATAGTTTTGTGGAAGGTACCCCCGAATGAGTGAGTGAGTGAGTATGGCTTTACGCCGCTTTTAGCAATATTCTAGCAATATCATGGTGAGGGACAACAGAAATGGGCTTCACACATTGTACCCTTGTGGGTAATTGAACCTGGGTGTTCAGCGTGACGAGTTTGATTGACCAAGTCAGCGAGCCTGACCACCCGATCCGAACACTGAGTGAGCAAGCAGTGAAAATATAAGGCAAGTAGCAGTGTTCGAAACTGTCAGTGAAAGTTATGTGGTCCTTGTAAAAAAATTAATGTTAGAAATTAAGAATAAGACATTATAGAAGAGGAACCCTGGGACCTCTTTAACATGCAATGGGTAAGAACAAGTGTTACATGGAGATTTGTAGAGATATGATGCCTTAGTCTAATACTACCCATCTTCCTGAGACAAGGGCGTTAGCTGACTATAAAAGTCCAGTTTACACCCTTGCCGAACTAGGCTGCAATTTCCAGGCTCAATTGTAGCACCACCAGTGTGATGCCCAGTCAAGACGATCTGATTGATAATCAAGATCTATATTGTAATATAAAGGGTCTTTCCCCGCAACATGCATCAAATCACTTGAGCACCTTGATTAAAAACATGAAAAGATTTGCAAAATAACTGTTGACGCCAAGTTGGCGGTACACATGCTTTGCAAAGCCTGCAGTTGACATAAATCTGCATGTTGAAATCCAAGTTGTTTACGAAGCGGATGTCTAGTTCATTACGCAATTTTGATAGGGCTTTTCATAGACACGGTAGTCCAACCTCAATGTAACTCCAGAATTTCAGGCTAGTTCGACAAGGGTGGAAACTGAACTTTTATAGTCAGTTAACTACCTTGCCTCAGGAAGAGGAATACAGCCACACACAGAAATAGGGTGAGCATAGAGAGAGCATAGAGTGAGCATAGAGTGAGCATATAGTGAGCAATTCTAAAGCATCATGTAACAAGTAGGTAAGAAAATGTGAGTCCAAAACAATCACACAGTCAGAGAAGACAGAACATAAAGTGGGCATAGAGTGAGCATGGAGTGAACATGCAGTGAGCATACACTGAACATAGAGTGGACATAGGGTGAATATAGGGTGAGCATAGAGTGAGCATATCTAAAGCCTGATATAAGTAGTACCATCTGCCCTCTCCTTCTCCTCCTCGGCCTCGAGTTCTGCCAGCTCTGCTGTTATAACAAAGCCATACACATCCTTTGTTAGTCAGACACACATCACACACATGTACACACGTACACACGTACACACGTACACAGCACTACTGGTGCTAGGCAGCACTCCATATCATTCCCACTGAGAAAATATGCCAATCATAAGCAATCAAATAAAAAATATTATACAGGATGTAAAGAATGAAAAAATGTTTAGTCATGCAACCAGTCTACCACAGAACCACGACCATAAAACAGAGAAATCAAACTAATTATGGAGAGAGAAATTCAATTAAATCATCACAAAGAAATCAATGCCAAAGCCACAATGATTATTGCAATAACGATGAATATTTTTAAAATTTGCTTAAAAATATATATCTAAAATATCAATTTTAATCAAAAATCTTGTATGCATTATTAGTATTGCCATATCAGAATCCCACACCTCCCCCTCTACACCCATCAGAATCCCCACACCTCCCCCTCTACACCAATCAGAATCCCACACCTCCCCCTCTACACCCATCAGAATCCCCACACCTCCCCCTCTACACCAATCAGAACCCCACACCTCCCCCTCTACACCAATCAGAACCCCACACCTCCCCCTCTACACCAATCAGAACCCCACACCTCCCCCTCTTCACCAATCAGAACCCCACACCTCCCCCTCTACACCAATCAGAACCCCACACCTCCCCCTCTTCACCAATCAGAACCCCACACCTCCCCCTCTTCACCAATCAGAACCCCACACCTCCCCCTCTACACCAATCAGAATCCCACACCTCCTCCTCTACACCCATCAGAATCCCACACTTCCTCTACACCCACTAGAATCCCCACACCTCCTCCTCTACACCCACTAGAATCACCACACGTCCTCCTCTACACCCATCAGAATCACCACACCTCCTCCTCTACACCCACCAGAATCCCCACACCTCCTTCTCTACACCCATCAGAACCCCCACACCTCCTTCTCTACACCCATCAAAATCCCCACACCTCCTCCTCTCCACCAATCAGAATTCCCACACCTCCTCCTCTACACCCACCGAAAACCCACACCTCCTTCTCTACACCCATCAGAATCCCCACACCTCCTCCTCTACACCCACCAGAATACCCACACCTCCTTCTCTACACCCCTCAAAATCCCCACACCTCCTCCTCTCCACCAAGCAGAATCCCCACACCTCCTCCTCTCCACCCATCAGAATCCCAACACCTCCTCCTCTACACCCTCCTCTACACCCATCAGAATCCCCACACCTCCTCCTCTACACCCATCAGAATCCCCACACCTCCTCCTCTACACCCATCAGAATCCCCACACCTCCTCCTCTACACCCATCAGAATCCCCACACCTCCTCCTCTACACCCATCAGAATCCCCAAACCTCCTCCTCTACACCCATCAGTCTTCCCCTATAACACTTTTCCCTACACTGACCTGCTTCTTTAGCTGCTGCTGCTGCTTCGGCCTCTGCATCCATCTGCTCCTTGATTTTGGCCTTGACCGTGGTGACGGCAGCCTCTGTAGCCTCGTCACGCACCTGCTGCATGGCCTTCTCCTTCTCCTCCGCCATCCTCGGCTTGATCAGCTCCGTCATGTTGAGCACCTGGAGGGGAAGTGATGCTATAGAGCTGCTGTGCACAACACAGGCATACACATGGACACTCACATCATATTTTCGCCTATATATATCTTGTTGTCTTCAGTTTTGACTATGACACAGATTATGTTTAAGAGCTGTTTTGATTGATACTTTACATTTTCATCTATTATATACAAAACATATGCACAAAACAGGAGTGACAGTTTTTGAAGAAAATATAAATTGTTGTGTGCATCAAGGGAGACAACTCTGAGATCTTGTCGATCCACGTGACGTAAAGTTTGTTTGAAATGATACATTCTCATATCAATTACATAATAGAAGCAAAACACAAACAATCATAGAAACAAATTGATAATTGAAATATTTTGGAGAGAAAAGGAAAATTGAAATCCCATGCCCCAGCACTGCCAGGAAACCACACATAACAATGCTTTTGTCGTCGAAATGAAAACCTAATTTCTGCTCAAAACACACAATAACACACACACACACATAAAAAAAAAGCCATCATGTTAAGTTTTATGCAGCGGAAGCAGTAAAATTAAGTGAAATCCCTTCTTTATTGCTGCCTGAGGTATAAGGTAGGCAGCAGACTAAGCCATTAAAATATGCATCAGGGGAGACAACTCTGATCAGTTGTGGCATTCTCTCACCTGTGCACCATATTTCTGTGCCAGTAGATGACTCAGTGTGGTCTTCCCTGATAGGGGCTGCCCCAGCACACAGAACTTGGCAGCAGGGCGGGGCTGTGGGGGGAGGAGGTAGGGGCGGGGGTTCTTGAGGAACTTCTCCATTGCTTCCCCGCTGGACAGGAAGTACATCTTGTCCAGGAAGCTGTGAATAACAGATAACACTAGAAAACTATTTCTCAAGGAGACTGGATCTAGGCAAATATCAGGAGTCATCAAATAAACATTACTACTGATGTCTGTGTCATGGCATGTATACAAAACCACCCGTGAAGATCCGGGGTAGAATAGGTCTTCAGCAACCTATGCTTGCCGTAAAAGGCGACTTTGCTTGTCGTAAAAGGCGACTAACGGGATCGGGTGGTCAGGCTCGCTGACTTGGTGGATGCATGTCATCAATCCCAATTGCATGGATTGGTTCTTATGATATTAATCACTGGATTGTCTGGTCCAGACTCGATTATTTACAGACCGCTGTCATATAGCTGGAATATTGCTGAGTGCGGCGTTAAACAACAAACCAACCAACTTATACAAAACCGCCATGTGTCTACAATCATACACTCTAGGGCTGGGACGAGTCCAAATTTACTACCCAGGTACCCAACCCCCTATTACCCGATAAAAGCCAAAAGAGGATTCATTTTGCTAAAGATACTGAATCAAGCTCCTTCCCAGCGTGTGACACCTTCGTTACACTCTTGGTAACATTGCTTGGCCTCTAACCCCAAATGTAGTAACGTTCATACTTTTCTTTGGGAATGCCATCATAGTTCAATTTGAAAAGGTTTACGACTGACCATGTTTTCCAGATGAATTTACTTTGTTGTTTTGATAATCAGATTGGTTCAAGATTGCAGACTAAAGGAAAATCAACGAACTTATCCCTTACATTCTTACTATATCAATTAAAGATGATAGTTTTAATGAAATAGAAATCCAAATTGACAAACAAAGAAAGTAATTAATCAGGGGTAAGTGTATTTGGCTTCACGACAGTCGTCATTTGTTTGTAAACAAAACGGTCATTCGGTTGCGAGTTCAACTCCAAGCATGGTTGGGGCCACCTATCACAGTGGGGAGTTTTGACTGGTGGCAGCGATAGTATAAAGAGCTCCGCGAACGGGCTTTCGCTGCGAGGAGCTTGGATATCGAATCTGAGCCAATGCAAAAATAGTCTACTATGATGTCATCTCAAAGCATCAGCGGCAATTTACTGAACGTTCCATAAGTTTTGTCAAATATAAAACTACCACACAAGTTCTTTAGACAAAAAATACCATATATACTTTTTAGTACTTTCTTTGGTAAGGAGAGCAGTGGAGTGTGTAGCAAGTGGCTGACTTGCAGGTCTGTGACTTTTCCCACTAACCAGAAGCCCCAGTCCAGTAATATTTCTCTCTGTCTAGTAGACTCAGCTTACAGTACCCCATAGATTAACATTAAAAGCTATTCAAAATGTTGCCAATAGATGAGTTTGGACTCGTAGGCTTACAAGTATTTGGCACGGAATTTTGTTGCATTAGATGATTGAATGGGTACTTAATAACTAGAAATATACACGCTTTTATTGTAATATCAAAAGTAGACCTATATGTATGTTTATATGTATATATTCTTGTGAGTGAGTGAGTGAGTGAAATGGGTTAAACGCCGCTTTTAACAGTATTCCAGTTATATCGCTACATGTCAGCTTAATGTGGGAAGAAAGCCCAAAGTGATGCAGGTCTCTGACGTTTACCACTTCGGTGAAACCCACGAGCACGGGTATGGTGCTGACAAACCTTGAAACATAATCGGGGCTAACCGGGATTCGAACCCACAATCATAGGGTTCTGGTGTGCCCAAGGGACGCAACTCTGCACGGCGAATCGCGGCGCCTTGGACGACTAGGCCACCTGTGCCCCCATATATTCTTGGATAATTAGCTTCTTATACAACAATGGACAACAGTTAAACTATTCACCTGACAGCAAACTCTGGTTTTCCATTGACAACATTTCCCTCAAACAGAGCCACAGGACAACTGCGAGCCCAGCGACTACGGCGCCAGCGGAACCGAGGGGCCACCATCTGTTTGGCTGCAATCTGCCGCATCAGCTCATCTGTCTGGATGTCCTCGGAAATGTCGTCCTCCTCAGGGTCATACAGCCTTATCGGGACAGCAGCAGGACGGAGGACGAAGCAGCTCAGCCTCTGCATCAGGTGCTGTAACAGGTACACAATGGATAGTGTTGTTTTATATTAGCAGCATCATAATCATAATCAGCATTATCATCATGCCTCATAATTAAGCCGGCCCGTGAAGATCCGGGGTAGAACAGGTCTTCAGCAACCCATGCTTGCCGTAAAAGGCGACTATGCTTGTCGTAAGAGGCGACAAACGGGATCGGGTGGTCAGGCTCGCTGACTTGGTTGATGAATGTCATCGATTCCAATTGTGTGGATCGATGCTCATGATGTCAATCACTGGGTTGTCTTGTCCAGACTCGATTACTTACAGAACGCCATCATATAGCTGGAGTATTGCTGAGTGCGGCGTCAAAAAAAACAAAAACAAAACAAACAGTTGGTCGAATGCGTAGATTGAGACATAACTAGTGTGTCCCCTTTGTTAATGTCCCTACCTTGAAGAGCGTGAGGCTGCTGAGGTTGCCGTCCATCTCCACCAGGTACTGCTGGTCATGGTCAGCCATGTAGTCCTGGAAAAGGGATCGGCTGGTCAAAATGGCCGCTGAGTATAACACGAGGCATACAGTGAGTCAGTCAAACATGTGTGATAGTATTGTCATGTGGCAGTAGAAACTGCTGTTAATGTATTTGAGGTGATTGTCAGTAGCAGGAGAATATTGAAATACATTTAAATATCAACTGATGCCGCTTACCTCTGTTAAAATCTGGCCATGACAGCACTTTTACTGGTACAGTGTTCCCTCGTTATTGCGCCCTTCAATATAGCGCTAACTCGGTTATAGCGCGCGGTAAAGCATGGCTCCCAAAATTACCTAACATCTTCAATAAACTCAAGTTTTCCAATGACACGATTATTTCAATATTCTGCTCCCATCGACACTCACCAAAAATATATTTACCACAGTTTCAACAGCCACATAACACTGGCCTCGATAGTCACTGGTTACTGCAGGTGGTCAAGGTACAAGGAAGGTGTATGTAACAGACTGGCCTCGATAGTCACTGGTTACTGCAGGTGGTCAATGTACAAGGAAGGTGTATGTAACAGACCGACCTCGATAGTCACTGGTTACTGCAGGTGGTCAATGTACAAGGAAGGTGTATGTAACAGACCGACCTCAATAGTCACAGGTTACTGCAGGTGTGTATGTTTACAGACCGACCTCGATAGTCACAGGTTACTGCAGGTGTGTATGTATACAGACTGACCTTGATAGTCACTGGTTACTGCAGGTGTGTATGTATACAGACTGACCTCGATAGTCACTGGGTACTGCAGGTGTGTATGTATACAGACTGACCTTGATAGTCACAGGTTACTGCAGGTGTGTATGTATACAGACTGACCTTGATAGTCACTGGGTACTGCAGGTGTGTATGTTTACAGACTGACCTCGATAGTCACAGGTTACTGCAGGTGTGTATGTATACAGACTGACCTCGATAGTCACTGGGTACTGCAAGTGTGTATGTTTACAGACTGACCTCGATAGTCACTGGGTACTGCAGGTGTGTATGTTTACAGACTGACCTCGATAGTCACTGGGTACTGCAGGTGTGTATGTATACAGACTGACCTTGATAGTCACTGGGTACTGCAGGTGTGTATGTTTACAGACTGACCTCGATAGTCACAGGTTACTGCAGGTGTGTATGTTTACAGACCGACCTCGATAGTCACTGGGTACTGCAGGTGTGTATGTTTACAGACTGACCTCGATAGTCACTGGGTACTGCAGGTGTGTATGTTTACAGACTGACCTTGATAGTCACTGGGTACTGCAGGTGTGTATGTTTACAGACTGACCTCGATAGTCACTGGGTACTGCAGGTGTGTATGTTTACAGACCGACCTCGATAGTCACTGGGTACTGCAGGTGTGTATGTTTACAGACCGACCTCGATAGTCACTGGGTACTGCAGGTGTGTATGTTTACAGACCGACCTCGATAGTCACTGGGTACTGCAGGTGTGTATGTTTACAGACCGACCTCGATAGTCACTGGGTACTGCAGGTGTGTATGTTTACCTCGAGGATACGCAGCATGTTGGTCTTGTACTTGCGCAGGTTCTCCTCCACCTGGTCCGGGAGATCCTCAGGTCTCCTGATGAGTCTCTCCAGGATCTCCGGTGGCAGCTCAATCAGCGGCTCATCCCCCTGGTCACAAAGACAGCACACAGTCCTATATCACACTCGCCAGGAAGGCTAGCACATGCATGTTCTTAAATGTTCAAAATTCTTGTCTGTTCTTGTCTTCATTATTTAAGTTAAAGCAGTTGTTATGAGTGAGTGAATGAGTTTGATTAAACGCCGCTTTTTACAGTATTCCAGTAATATCACAGCGTGCTAGTTTAATGTGGGAGGAAAGCCTGAAGTGATGCAGGTCTCAGGCATTTATCACTTCGGTGAAAGCCACGAGCACGTGTATGGTGCTGCCAAACCTAGAAACATAATCGTGGCGAATCGGGATTCGAACCCACAGTCACTGGTCTACCAGTAGGTTACAACTCTGCACAGCAAATTGCGGCGCCTTAGACAACTGTCCCCCAGTTGTTATACATACAGTATGTAACATTTGTGTGTTCATGATTTATGGAAATGAGAAGTTGGAAATGTCAGCTGCAGATATGTAGAAATATGACATATATGTTTCATGGCTGGTTAGTTTTAAGTCCCTATTTCTAACAATGTGAAGATCATTTAGAATTTTCTTTAATTCTCTTTAAAGGTAATCTCAACTAAACAATTCACTTAAACTATGAAAAAAAGAAAAATATTACAGCACTAGTCACCTTCCACAGAAGAATGATATCAATGTGATTATGGTAATATATATACAGTATATTTCCATTGTATTATGGGCTGGTGGCCTGAAGAACCGAATACCGTCTGTCTGTCTGTCTGATTTTTGTCATGCCCTGGAGATGGTACACAGTTTAACCCATTATTAAATCTATTTTTTTGGTGAAATCTTGATTAATAACATGGATAAGTAGTAATATCCCTTTATCATTTACAGTGAAATCCTGTTAGTCTGACAGGTGGTGTTCCTACTGAAATTGTCCACACTTACAAAATTCCAGTTAAACAATACATGGTTATGGTGAGGTGAGGTGAGGTGAAATGGGGTTTAACGTCGCGTCCAAGATTATTGCACTTATATAGCGACGTGCATGTACTTGTGTGTGTTTGTGTGGCTGCTTGTACTAGTCCGGACTGATGCCGATTTCTAGTGCTAGCTCACTGAGATACCATGCTGCAGTTTAACATGAATACCCCACTCAGACACAGTATACTGACTCCGAGCCGACCAGTCCTTGTTTTAGCCCCTTAATGCCAAGCGCCAGACAGGGTAACAACAAGTACCATCTTTTAACGTCTTTTGGTATGACGCGGTCGGGGATCGAACTCCGGACCTTCCGCTCTCCGGGCGGCCGCTCTACCACTAGACCACGGAGGCGGTCACATGGTTATGGAGTACTGTCACTTTGTTAACATGAAAACATTCCCAGCAGTAATCCTCATGGGATCGGTGTAGACATGGCCTGTACACTTCTGTTTGAACTCTTTACCTCATTGGCTGTCTCTTCTTCCTCAGCCTCTTCCTCCTCCTCTTCTTCTTCCTCGCCATCCTTCTCTTCTGACTAGAAATAGAATAAAATACACTCATAGTTTGCGAATTTACATATTTTCACAGCATTTCAAACATTAATTGTCGGTTGTATTCACCTATAAATCTTATCTGTACTCTTCAGCCAGTTTAGTAATAAGTTTTAGAGAGTTATCTCCCCTTGACCATTTTGGTATATCCCTTGTGTAAGGAAGTGAGTGAGTGAGTGAGTATGGTTTTACGCCGCTTTTAGCAATATTCCAGCAATATCACGGCGGGGGACACCAGAAATGGGCTTCACACATTGTACCCATGTCGGGAATCGAACCCGGGTCTTCGGCGTGACGAGCGAACGCTTTAACCACTAGGCTACCCGACCGCCCCCTTGTGTAAGGAAAAAATACAAGTTGTAACCTCACAAAAACTTATAGATAATACATTAGTAATAAAACATTTTATCTCTAAACTTACAACTTTGACAATCTTCTCTGGAGCGTACACCTCCTTTGTGTATATTTCTCCCGAGATGGGGTCAATCTTGCAGCCGAGCCGTCTTTTCTCGATATCCCGATCTGGAATCTACAAGCGAAAATAATGTGACAAAATGGTATTAGAATTTAATAAGAATTTTCGGAACATATAGATTTTATTTCTTTAGAAAAATGTCAACCTCAAAACTAATCATAATGAAAACATATATTTGTGACACATATTCATTGGTATTTCAAATTGTGGTATACCCGTATACTGGTAATACCACACACCTCTATTCATCACATCCTGATCATGGATCATTGCTCATGCTATCAACCACTGGTTCCTCAGGTCAAGACTGGATAACTTACAGGTACAACCCTGACCCTAGCAGTCGGAGAGTAACATTCACTCACTTATATCTCCGATTTTGATAAGAACATATTTGCTATATTCTTGTTTATTTGTTTTTTATTTTTGCAGTTATTGCTATTCTTGTTACGATATGTATGGTTTGTTTGTTAGTTTGTTTGTTTGTTAGTTTGTCACCTCACTCCAGCGTAAAGACATAAGAGGCTGGGGCCCTGTTCTAACCCAGGTCCTCATAAGGTTGTCTTATGCCTACCTTCAAGTTAATGATAAAGTCTGGCTTCAGTTTCCAGTTGCGGATGAGTTCCAGCTGGTCCCGGATCGTCATATGTTCCTCCGACAGGCAGGGGAAGTCATCCAGCATGTAGCCTGAAGGGGAGACAACTCAAGGTCACATTCTATTTGTCTTAATATTCTTGGCTCAAGGTCACCCTTAAAACTACTACTACTCGTGGTATTAAAGCTAACGATTCACAAAATATTCAGTGCGTATTGCATTGTGAGCTGAAATATTTGTACCAAATGATATATAATGAAAGTGTGTTTTTGTGTGTTTGTTAACAAAAGGTTGACTCTTTTGGAAACAAAATGGTATATTGAATTTTGGAGACACTTTGCAAAGACTCATGTCATGTTACATAAAAACTTACTCTACATAAAACATTAACAGAAACAATTTTGAAATATGTAAGTACATGTGTGATATATAATGGTTATTTTCAGAAACAAATGGCATAAGCTAAGTATTTCCTGAGCTGCAGAACACTGCTGAACTAACAACATAGACCTAGGCAGCTTCCAATGTTCCAAATTCATCCCTGAGAAGCATCCCATCAAGTTTCAAGGTAACTGAACATCAACATTTCCACCCTTGTCTTCACATTACTGTGCAACACCCAGGAACATCTGCTTGCATCATCATCCAACTCACCATGATGAGCAACCTCCGGTGAGTTGACTTTGTCGTCGATCATCTTGATGACGGTATCCTCTGGAATGGCTTCTCCGCGATTCAGAATCTCCAGACACTTGAGTCCCATTTCTGTCTGCAACTCGATGTTCTGCTGGAGCAGGTCCGTGGCTGCAAGATTCATGTACACTTCACTATCTGTACATATTGTCACAAGTCCGTAAACACAACCTAAAATGCCTTTCAGTAGACCCGTGAAGATTCCAGGGTAGAATAGGTCTTCAGCAACCCATGCTTGTCGTAAAAGGCGACTAACGGGATTTGGTGGTCAGGCTCGCTGACTTGGTTGATGCATGTCATCGATCCCAATTGCGTGGATCGATGCTCATGACATTAATCACTGGATTGTCTGGTCCAGACTCGATTATTTACAGACCGCCGTCATATAGCTGGAATATTGCTGAGTGAGGCGTTAAACAACAAACCAACCAACCAACCAACCAACCTTTCAGTAGAGCTGGAATGACTAATTTAATAATTGGTAAAGAATTCGATGAGAAAATCAGAATGAATTTTCATCTATATCTAATCGGATATGTCCAAAAAATGTTTAGGAATTTGAATATATAGGATGTAATACTATATTCATTTTAATATAATTCAATAAATGGCAGATTGATGCTCATGATGTCAATCACTGGACTGTCTAATCCAGACTCGATTATTTACAAACAGCTGTCATATAGCGGGAACAGTGCATCGTTAAACAAACAACCAATAACTAGCAATAAGGCAATAACAACAATAATAATCATAAATTCTTATCTGATTGTCCAGTGGACCCCAAACCCTCCCAACACCCATATACTTAACAATTAAAAAAAATCTGAACCTCATATTCCGTGAAGATAAAATATCTAATACAGAAGTTATTTCATTTGTTAAGGAAGGATTTTAATTCCCTCAAAACTACATACCAAAACAATATAACAATAGGACTTATCTAGGATTCCAAACTAAGTGCCCTTTAAAGGCAATGGGAAATAATGGTAATATTGTCAAAAATTTGATTTTTTAAATGTTCGTAAATTCTGAGGAATTAGGAAATTGTTATAAAATGTCATGTGATGCCGAGTGAGTGCCAAATATCGGAATCTGAGCAGGTTGAGATAAATCCATTTACAAGGACTTAAGTTGTTGAGGTATTAGTCTCTAGCTATTATTCTTGGACAAGATTGACCATGACTCACAGTTGATCAGTTCACACCTCCACTCCTGAGCCAGTCGTCTAGCCATTGTTGTCTTCCCTACCCCCGGCTTTCCAATCACGATAAAACATGTAGGCTTCGAGTGAAGGAATCGAAGTTCAGCCTGTAAGAAATGAAACCATTATCATAAAATTGTGTAGGACAACAACAAAAGATGGGTCAAACTTGAATTCACTGATCAAATTATTCTTTGAAGAAGTGAGTGAGTGACTTGGGTTTAACGCCGCTTTTAACAGTATTCCAGTTATGCCCGAAGTGATGCAGGTCTCAGACGTTTACCACTTTGGTAAAACCCACGAGCACAGGTATGGTGCTGACAAACCTAGAAACATAATCGGGGCGAACCAGGATTCGAACCAACAATCATAGGTTTCTGGCATGCCCAAGGGACGCAACTCTGCACAGGGAATTGCAGCGACTTTTACAACTGGGCCACCCGCCCCCTTTGAAGAAGTAAAAACAGAAGTAAAATGAATTGTTCAAAAAGTACAAGATACAAATAAGTAACTCTTAAAAACATCCTTGTGAGCCTATAATGGGTGGAAATAAATCTGCAAAATGACCGACCAGTTCGTAATCAGAATTGTTATTGTGTACCTCATCCTCCTCATATGGATCCATTTCTAGGTTCTTCAACATGGCCTCCATCTCGGATGATGTTCCGGAGGGCTCTGGGATGCTCACAGCCTCCAGGGTTGGCTGAATCACAGACATTCAAACATGTACTACTGTCACAAGAATATTCACAAGGAAACATAGCTACGAGGGCTCATGTGTTCAAGGTAACGTCTACTGGAAATGATGTCCCAAGTGCACTTTGAGCTGGTGGACAGAACAATCTTTGATAAAAGTTCTATTGACAAGGACCCTTGACTTTCCTGCTTAATTTGAACCCTGTTTGATCATGTTGATCCTTCGGTAAAATTACAATTGTCAAAATGAATGAGGCTGCAAAATGGAGGTACCTGAGGTTCAGTTGCCATGACTTCTATTGCTTTATCTGATGCCTTCTCTGCTGAAGCCGGGTCATCGGCCTGCACACACAAATAAGACAAGTCACAATCATCATCATCATCATCATCATCATCATCATCATCATCATCATCATCGAAGTCATAGAAAATGTATATTTGTTCCTTCATAATCGTAAGCTCTACATCCAAGCATGGATCATAGGCAAAAGTGGTACTTTTTATTTGTAAACGAATTAAAAAGTCATTTAACTTTTCTTTTGTATGATATTCAATTCAAATGTTGTCTTTACAGTAGCTCCCTCAATCAGCAGCGGTGTCTGAATTCATCAACCAGCATCACAACAGTATTTATGTAAAATGATCACAACAGTATTTATGTAACATCATCACAACATATTCTACATAAACAATGACATGGGACATCTGTATCAGTATTCACAAAGATAAAACTGATAACCAAAACAAGATAAAGAAGAAAGCAAAGAAGGCATTATGTTTTATGTTTGTTGTTTCATGTGTGAAGAATACAAGAAATATGACTATAAGTATCAAAATTAATTTGCAGATAATATACAACAATATGTTACTCTTTCACCAACAGAAATGAAAACAAAATATTGAACGCATGTACAACTTGCCTTGAAAAATATAAAACTGAAGGATATAGTTAAAAAACAAAAGAGATTTGATACGGAAACAGTTCTCAAAACATATTTGTGACAATACTTTGAGAGAGGGAGAAACTACTCTAAAGATGGAGAGGGATACATATACATGACTTACTGAACAAACTTCTCGATCTACCCAATCAGTTTGATTTAGCAGCCAACCTCTCTGTAAGTGATATTATCGGGTATTATATATGCCTTTTAATTAGTACATACATTATTACATTAAATATATCGATTGGTGAAACTGTATCTAAGGTAATTCTTGAAACCTGAAAAGTATGGCTTCTGAGCAGTCACTTTGTTATTAATTAGGGTGGGAAAGCTATGCTTTTTTAAATGACAGGTGATTTCCACTTCATAACATAGTTTCTAGGCTGAAATAGTTACATTTCGCTTTGAGATAAATGGAATGGGAGTTAATACATGTAAACATGTCAACAAAATACAAAATGTTAGCTTTAATTGCCAAACCTAAATAAGGTTTTGTCAGCACCAGATGCGTGAATGTGGGTTTCAAAAGCCTATGAACTTTGTTGTTTTGGGCTTTTATTCCATATTAAACAAACACACTGTGACGTAACTGACATATTGTCCAAAGTGTTGTTAACCAAACGCACTAAATCACTTTTGTATTCTGCTGACCTATGATTCAATTGATCTGCTTGCCTAGAAATAAAGACCAACCCATGGGGATTCTAGGTAAGAATATAAGTCTGAAAGCTTGTTGAAAGAGGCAACTACGTGGATCGAGGAATCATGCTTGGTGAATTAGGTTGCATGTCCTTGTATCCTAACTGCGTGAATCGATGGTCATGTCACTCACTTGATTGTCTGGTTCAGACTTAATTATTTACAGACCACAGGCATTAAACAACAAATAAACAAATATTTCAAGGTATAAAAATGAGCATACCTGGGCTACAATCTACAGTTAGTTCTTCAGACAGTTCAATGCTAATACACTAGACAGAAGATAACCTTCGCAAAAATACCACAACAGGATTGACAGAACTCGTCTGCTTAAGATATTCCCTATACATTAGGAGTCATTATTAAACAATAATTGACTAATCATAAATAAATAATAACCCTGACGGAAGTAAAGACATATAGACACTAAAGAATAGAATACATAAAGAATGTCAAAATAAATATATCTTCAGCAAATGGCTCACCTATAAATGCATCGAATGCTTACAAACTTACTGACTGCAAGTAATGCAAAAGTGCTAAAACTTTACACGATTGTACAGACATAGACTCTTTCTCATTCAATTCAGTCTAAAACAGAAATATGTCTTTTCATTGCAACTGACGACTCAATCTGATCCAAAATAAAGGCCTAGGCAAGTGAATCGTCTGCATTTGTAAACATCATGAACATTTCTTTGAAAAGAACACTTGGTGTCAATTTACCTACTTGACAGTCCACTACATTGAAAAGGAATCCACCAAATGGTATATTGTTATAATTAAGCTACAGAATCAATACAAACGCAGAGACCGCTTGATGCACTCAGACGGGCACTTACTTTCGCAGTGTTGTCGGCCATCATTTCTGTCACTAAGGAAGTTGTCGCGAGGCAGTATCGGAGTGAATACAATGTCGCCTAACTAAAATAGACGTAGCAACAATTAATTTATATTACCCACTCAAATGACATTTTGTAATAAAATTATTTCTTACAATTTGAGATTTTCTCACATTTAGTCTTCCGACAATTTTAAATATTAAGTGATGCGGGTTTGTTCTATTTTTAGTAACGAACGTCGTGGTAATAAAGTCACGTGCCACCGTGTGTTGCCAACCTATTCCTTTCACTTCTCGGGGTTTTTTTTAATACCTTATCGTCAAACTTGAGCACTTTGGCTTCTTTTATAACGGCCTTTTGCAAGCAAACTGTCAGTCGTATTTGTTAAATGTTTATATTTCGATGCTTGAAACATGGCTGTGTAGAATCTTGTGTTAGACAAAACAAACCGCATGGTAGACACTGAGCATACATATACAAGTGTCCTAAACTTTTTTCATGTTTTAAGAAATGATATAGCAATAGTTTTAATGTCGCAGCAGTATTTTTATCAATTAAAATTTGAACTAGAAACAACAACATACTATTTACGATAATTTGTATATGTGATTCTGTTGAAAAGCACGTTCCAGACAATGATCAAAAAAAAGAAAGAAATTTGACTCATGTTTAACCGAACAAAGTAAATTGTCAACTAGATGTACTGCAAGATGGGTCCCAAATCGTGTTGCCTCGTCGCTTAATATTTGCTAATGACTCCCTCTCCTATCCGATCCTGAAGATCCGGGGTAGTATACGTCTTCAGCAATCCATGCTTGCCGTAAAAGGCGACCATGCTTGTCCTATAAGGGGCGACTAACGGGATCGGGTGGTCAGGCTGGAATATTGCTGAGTGAGGCGTTAAACAACAAACCAACCAACCAACCAACCAACTTATCACCGATGAGACAATTCAGAATTGTAGAGGGAAAAATAGATTTCACAACATCTACACACCTACAGCGTGTACGCTCGATTTTCTTGTGTTTTCATCACATTCATAATAGAATGGAGATATTCTCTGGATATTCGAGGATAAATAATAATGGAAAGCGTTCGTAGGAAGCTGAATCTGGTCTGGAAAGTAATTTTCAGGATTCTCATGGTGGTGGGGGAACCCAATTGATAAAGCGTTCGCTATGTTTATCTCCGCACTTGGCAATTATTCTAGTTATATGCTGGATGTCTGTAAATAATCAGGACCAGACAACCAACACTGAGTTATTGGCATTATGAGCATCGATCCACGCAATTGGGGTTCGATGACATGATTCAACAAAGTGACCAAACGATCCCGTTAGTTTGAGTCTGGGCCAGACAGACCAGCTAGATCTACGCAAATGGGATATGACGCCATGCATCAACCAAGTCAGCGATCCTGATCACCCAATCCAATTTTTAAGGTAGTAACAAAATATACGTTTACCTTATTTAGGTTTGGCAATTTCTCTCTCTAATGTTAATTTGGACGTTATTTGTGTGCTAATTGGATGTAAAAAACGCTACTGTTCGAATTATCCGACTTCAGCTTGTTTTAACACACGGATATTCAGTTTCCAATATATTTGCTAGTTGTAAGCACCATATACAAACACTGGAACGATTCATGTATAATGAACATAATCTATGAATATAATCTAGCCCGTCGATTGTTTGATATCGATAGTCAATTTCTTTTAATTTTAAATAAAACTATAATGAGGATATATGAAGTGGTGTTTTAAAAACAGAAAGAAACGGCAAAGAAACAGTCAATGCGTTTTAGACATGTTTTCAGCTTTAAGAAATCCTAAAACTTTGGAATGACGTCATTACACTATGACGTCATAATATTGGATTCTCACAGGGTCACATTCACAAATAAAGACTTAAAACCGAAATATGTGTTCGTTAGGATCTTGAATTAAGCAAAATGGACAGTACCAATATCATCAAACGAAAATATAATGTAACGGTGAATAACTACCAGTGATGCTTTGCGACTCTGTCTATGACGTCACGCCATTGTCAATGCGGCATCACTCGTCTTCACGAGTTGTGAGATTTGGTCCGTTCAACATGTCACACGGTATCCATAACGTAGATAGACACCCCAGACGCTCTCGGGAACAGGCCTTTGAGCCTAAAATCCACGCGATACCACCAGGATCTCCTGAGCAACAGGAACAGGAACAGAAATTCTCTGGCGAAATAGCTAACGCGTCTTCCATAGGAGCTGCCGCTGCCTCTTATACCGACCGTCTTCCCTCACGAAGCGAAAGTGACCTACTGCAACCACCTCTGCCCTCGGAGGTATTTCTCAAAAAGGTCCATGGACCTGAATTCTTCGTTTCAAGGGATTACAGACGTCTTCTTCCTCCGACGATTCCCTCTGAGTTTATATTTGCTCTCACTGAAGACGACGATGTCACAGAGAAGGTCATCGGACACGGATCCTTTGGGGCAGTGGTGTCAGCTATACTGTACCATCCCCCGGACTATGTGAAGGAAGTTGTCATGAAAGAAACATTTGAACAAGATTTCCGTGATATAACCCACGAGGCCAGGGCAGCGATGTACCTGGAAAGAACCGGATTTGTTCCGACTTGTTTTGGCCTGACAGTCTCTGGCAGTGGAGGTCTCCGGATTGTACAGGAATGTTTCGCCCAGGGAGTGACACTCCAGATGGTGTTGGTAGAAGAGTTACTACCGATAGAAAATGAGAGAAAGTGGCTGTACATAGCTTGCCAACTGGCGGAAGGACTTGCAAAGATCCATGCCTTCGATGTCCTTCTTAACGACATCAAGGACGACAATGTCCTCGTGGATCTGAAACCATCACTACCCGTTGTGAAATATTGTGATCTTGGCTCCAGTACCTATAAGAAAGGCTGTGTCTTCAAATCTCCAGACAGTAGTAGATCACATCATTTATCTCCCGAGGCGTGTGTTCCCAATGCTGTCACAAACCAAGCCAACGACGTGTTCGGCCTGGGCAACTTGCTGAGGAATATCCACAGAGTGACCAACATTGCTGCGTTAGTCCCCGTGGCAGAACGATGCCGCTGTGAAGCTGTGCCGGAATCACGTGGTACAGCTGATGGGGCTTACAGAGATCTGTATATGGAATACACTAGGGCCGAGAAAAGATGGAGCGAAGACTTAGAAAGCCTAGAAGACGAGTTAATACCTGGTCTTGGAGACGGAGACTTCCGGGACACACCCTCACCACGCACAGGAAACAGGTATTGTTATTGGGATGTCTTGAAGAAGCGGTGTGGTTCCCCTATAAATGTTTGCCTTTCAGAGAATATAGGTATGTCTTGAAGAAAAGACAACAAATAAACCTCCAAGGAAAGAAAGTATACACTCGAAAATTTGGATTTGGCCAAAACATTACAAACATCAAAACGTTACAAAGTTGAAAACAGTCGACGAAATATTGCAAACTTAAGGTTCAAAATGCAACTACTCGTATCAAATACATCACCATCGAATAACCACTTCCGGTTTTTTTAGGGTTTTTTTCTGTCTCAAACCAAAAACCCGAGACAGCCCAATATTAACTGGCCTACCCCTAATGTACCTGTATGATAAAGGAGTTCACACTTGTATATATGGGGGGCACGGGTGGTCCAGTCGTCTAACGCGCCGCGATTCGCTGTGCAGAGTTGCGTCCCTTGGGTAGGCCAGAAACCTATGATTGTGGGTTCGAATCCCGGTTCGCCCTAATTATGTTTCCAGGCTTGTCAGCACCATACCCGTGCTCGTGGGCTTCACCAAAGTGGTAAACGTCTGAGACCTGCATCACTTCGGGCTTTCCTCCCACATTAAGCTGACACGCCGTGATATAACTGAAATACTGTTAAAAGCGGCGTTAAACCAAACTCACTTACTCACTTGTATATATATAAACTTGTTCTCGTCGCTAATGGCTGAAAAATGTAGATGCGAAGTTAAATAATAACGCACACACCCAAGGGGGTCTAGGCTATAGGGTCAATCGGAGGTCAAGGCAAGTTTGATTCAAATCGCTCAAATGACGATTTCATTGTGTGTTAACTCAACCGTTATGACGTATACCAATCTAGTGGTTACTGATTAATCCAAACATGGCAGTGATTACAGTTTGGTGAAAGCTAACGATGAACACCATGGAGGCATTTCTTTTTAAGCTTAAAGCTTGCCAGGTATACCAGAGATGCCTTATATGGAACTGGGTCATGGTATAATTGTTTTTACGTTGCTGAACATCAGGGCTCACTTGCACAAAGCGATCTCAGCGCTAAGATGATCGTAACTCCCATTCATTAACATAGGCTCACGATAGTCTTAGCGCTAAGATCGCTTTGTGCATTTGGGTCCAGGTACGATTACCCAGCTGGTGTACAGTTAAGATGGACATGCAATAATGTGTGTTTGAGGTTGTTTCTTCAGTTTGGCTTTTCTTTCTCTTTGGGATCTCGTTGTGAACAGATATTTTCCAAACCTTGTATGTTTTTTTAACCAAGGTGCTCGTATGATTTGGTGCACTTCGCGATGTAAGACCCGTTTCATCACAATACAGATCTTGATTATCGATCAGATGGCGGTGCCATTTTGTTTGAAACAAATGCAAGTGATTGAATCGGATTGGTCCATAGGAGAGGCTCAGAAGGGACATAACTCATTGTAACCACTGGTGGCTGAGGAATTCCAGCCTAGTTCGGCAAGGGTGGAAACTGGACTTTAATAGTCAGCTGACGCCCTTGTATCAGGAAGATGGGTTGTATTAGACTTAGTCAGTTAACTCTCTTGTCTCGGGAAGATGGTTTCATGCAGACGCATCATACAAGCTTTCCGTACCTACCATTTGATACTTTGGTCATCTTGGGACAAAAGAAAGTACACCGAGATTGTTTTTGTTTTTTAAAAATTTGATTGTCATTTTAACCATCACACACTCCTGCAACAGTTTCTAAAAAAAAGTAATATGTGGCTGGGTAATTTTGTAAAAATAGACTTGGTCATTGAAGACTGTGGTAAGAAATATTTGTAACCCGTGACCCCCTTCTATGTTTGAAATGTTGTAAATATGTACCGAAAAAACACATTTATTGACTTTCTAAGATAAGGTGTCTTAGATACCCAGTTGTGTATTATAAAGTTTTAAATGAAATTATCTTGTTTAAAAAAACATGTATACAAGTGTTCTTTGAGTGCCGACAAAGCGCCAGTATAGTTACTTTTTGGGTTACAATATCTCTGACTTAAGATATTTTTATTTGAAAATCAAACATATTATGTTTCATTTTCAAATCGAAATTATCTTAAGTGGTTAAATCAACTGGAGGGATTGTTTCAACATTGCGGGTTTACATGGAAACAGTGAATAGGTGTCTGAACTTTTGAGAAGAGCTATGCGAGGTTATAGAAGGGTGCTTCGTTTACTCAAAAGCATGTGCCTATATACTGATAATAAATCTACACTATTCTACCTCTCCTCTTCACTTGGTAGTTCATGCCAAATAAACTGTATCAATGTGGAATATAACAATTTTAGGTGCCAAAATTGGGCGACGTTTCGGTAAGACGAACGCCAATGACTTGCAACAGAAGTTAAGTGTCCTCCAGAAGTTTCTACGTAATGGTTTATTCAAAACCATAGATTTCTGTTCCAGCGTGGTTTGGTCAGCACACTGTTCAAATGCTGTAGAAATTGATGAGGACATGGCTGCCTATCTTGCCTCCCTGGACGCTCGCTACTCTCCATCACAAGCAGGAAGGTACTGGTTTAGTTAGTGGACATTTGAATATAGTATTTCAATATGTTGAATACATGTTAGGAAACATTCGTCACCACTCGCCCCTTTCCGTAACCTGCAAGAAGACTCGTCCCCCTATCGATGAATGTTATGTGCGAAAATACGACAAACCAATCAGAATGCGCGTATTATTTCAAGTTCTTCGTCAAAGAATCCTTCAGAAGTATTTTTTGATTTTACATATGTCTTGGATCTAAAAATATACCAAAGACACAGTTAAATGTGTTCAATCATACTGTATAATTCCGCATGTCCCGATGTGCTTTAAATTGTATCTGCAATCTATATAATATATGGTGAAATGTAAGTGAACCATTACGCAACGAGTTGACAATTGTTTTAGGTATGCCCGTTTACGCTGAGACGGAACCCGGTCGCAAAAATGGCCATGAGCGGGGCACGAGTCGCTATTCGGCTTGTCCCGGAATAACACGAGTTGGTCGCGAATGGTTAGGAAACAGGTAGCCGCAATTCGCTGTGCAGAGTTGCTTCCCTTAGCCATGACATGATCCTTGCATACGGGTTGCGCACTGATTATGATCTTTGGTATGACGGCAACATACCTGTTTCAGTGGAGAACGTCTAAGATGTGCGTCGCTTCAGGGCCTGCAAAATAAAGCTGGCCGTGATATAACTAAAGAACTGTTACACCCAACTCACTCACTCACTAATTAAAGAGTAAATAGAACAATAGACACATTATTTGTTAATACCAATAACCTTTCTCTACAAGAACTTCTTTTTTCCTCAGGACTGAAGAATGGGTAAAGAGAGGCAACTTGAACGAGCTCCATGTTGGATGCAGCATCCCCCAGGACATTATCAACACAGCTGATGCAGCTGTCATGGCTGAGACACTAGAATCTGTTGGACAAAGAGCCTCCCAGGACATCTTGGCCACAGCTGATGCAGCTGTCATGGCTGAAACATTAGAGTCTGTTGGACAAAGAACCTCCCAGAACAGCTTGGCCACAGCTGATGCAGCTGTCGTGGCTGAAACAGTTGAGTCTGTTGGACAAAGAGCCTCCCAGGACATCTTGGCCACAGCGGATGCAGCTGTCATGGCTGAAACATTAGAATCTGTTGGACAAAGAGCCTCCCAAGACATCATGGCCACAGCTGATGCAGCTGTCATGGCTGAAACACTAGAGTCTGTTGGACAAAGAGCCTCCCAGGACATCTTGGCCACAGCTGATGCAGCTGTCGTGGCTGAAACAGTAGAGTCTGTTGGACAAAGAATCTCCCAGGACATCTTGGCCACAGCTGATGCAGCTGTCATGGCTGAAACACTAGAGTCTGTTGGACAAAGAGCCTCCCAGGACATCTTGGCCACAGCTGATGCAGCTGTCATGGCTGAAACACTGGAATCTATTCGAGGACAAAGAACCTCAGAGTCAGATATCATGTTCTCGGGATCAGAGGACTCTACTGATGCCTCTTTTAGCATTGTTCCTGAAGAGAGTCTGGCAGACATCATGTTCTCGGGATCAGAGGACTCTACTGATGCCTCTTTTAACATTGTTCCTGAAGAGAGTCTGGCAGACATCATGTTCCCGGGATCAGAGGACTCTACTGATGCCTCTTTTAACATCGTTCCTGAAGAGAGTCTGGCAGACATCATGTTCTCGGGATCAGAGGACTCTACTGATGCCTCTTTTAACATCGTTCCTGAAGAGAGTCTGGCAGATATCATGTTCTCGGGATCAGAGGACTCTACTTACGCCTCTTTTAACATTGTTCCTGAAGTGAGTCTGGCAGACATCATGTTCTCGGGATCAGAGGACTCTACTGACGCCTCTTTTAACATTGTTCCTGAAGAGAGTCCGGCAGATATCATGTTCTCGGGATCAGAGGACTCTACTTACGCCTCTTTTAACATTGTTCCTGAAGAGAGTCTGGCAGACATCATGTTCTCGGGATCAGAGGACTCTACTGACGCCTCTTTTAACATTGTTCCTGAAGAGAGTCTGGCAGACATCATGTTCTCGGGATCAGAGGACTCTACTGACGCCTCTTTTAACATTATTCCTGAAGAGAGTCTGGCAGACATCATGTTCTCGGGATCAGAGGACTCTACTGACGCCTCTTTTAACATTGTTCCTGAAGAGAGTCTGGCAGACATCATGTTCTCGGGATCAGAGGACTCTACTGACGTCTCTTTTAACATTGTTCCTGAAGAGAGTCTGGCAGACATCATGTTCTCGGGATCAGAGGACACACCTGAGGTGTCCTTTCACATTGTTCCTGTTGTAAACCTGGCAGACATTATGTATGCTGGCCCAGAGGACGTTTCTACATCCGGGTCATGGAACATAGTCCCCGTGGTCGGTCTGGCAGATATCATGTATGCAGGACCCGAGAACACACGTGTGGCGTAGGGAATTGGAGTGTGTGCAGTGGGTGTAGGAGGGCGTAGGGCTGGCGTAGAGAGGTCGTAAAGGGGGTGTGGAGTGGGTGTAGGATAGGTGTAGCGTGGATGTGGGTGTAGGGTAGGTGTAGAGTGGGTGTGGAGTGGGTGTAGGGTAGGTGTAGAATGGATGTGGGTGTAGGGTAGGTGTAGAGTGGATGTGGGTGTAGGGTAGGTGTAGAGTGGGTGTGGAGTGGGTGTAGGGTAGGTGTAGAATGGATGTGGGTGTAGGGTAGGTGTAGAGTGGGTGTGGAGTGGGTGTAGGGTAGGTGTAGAATGGATGTGGGTGTAGGGTAGGTGTAGAGTGGGTGTGGAGCGGGTATAGAGTAGGTGTAGAGTGGGTGTGGAGTGGGTGTAGGGTAGGTGTAGAGTGGGTGTAGGGTAGGTGTAGAGTGGGTGTGGAGTGGGTGTAAGGTAGGTGTAGAGTGGGTGTAGGGTAGGTGTGGCGTGGGTGAAGGGTATAATTCATATGCGTATTATACATTGCGATATGAGTGTTATACAATGTCATGTGAGTATTATACATTGTCATATGAGTGTTATACATTGTCATGTGAGTATTATACATTGTCATATGAGTGTTATACATTGTCATGTGAGTATTATACATTGTCATATGAGTGTTATACATTGTCATGTGAGTATTATACATTGTCATATGAGTGTTATACATTGTCATGTGAGTATTATACATTGTCATGTGAGTATTAGACATTGTCATATGAGTATTAGACATGGCCATATGAGTGTTATACATTGTCATGTGAGTATTATACATTGTCATATGAGTGTTATACATTGTCATGTGAGTATTATACATTGTCATATGAGTGTTATACATTGTCATGTGAGTATTATACATTGTCATATGAGTGTTATACATTGTCATGTGAGTATTATACATTGTCATGTGAGTATTAGACATGGTCATATGAGTATTAGACATGGCCATATGAGTGTTATACATTGTCATGTCAGTATTATACATTGTCATATGAGTATTATACATTGTCATATGAGTGTTATACATTGTCATATGAGTATTATACATTGCGATATGATTGTTACTCATTGTCAAATGAGTATTATAGATTGTCATTTGAGTATTATACATTGCGATATGAGTATAATATATTGTCATATGTGTATTATACATTGCGCGATATGTGTATTATACATTGCTGTATGAGTATTATACATTAACACATGATCATAATAGATTCGAGTATACTAGATTACCATGCGAATTATAGTCTTCAAAATGATTATCATATATCAAGAAGACACTCCTACATCAGAACTCCTGGGCTATGAGTGGCCGTCAGTTGTAAATGTGTGATAGATATGAACATGCTACGTCACATGTTTGGATATTTGTATATGTGAAATTATTGATAATCAAAAAATATATTTATTTATTTACAGTTCGCGTTATCAGAGGTTAATTGAAATTGAACATAAAAAAATCTAACTCAAAATAACTAACAAAAACAACAAGAAGATTCCAAGTAATTTACAAGCAAAATATGTTAAAAGTGTTATCAATTCTATATGTTGTTTTAGCTTAAAACTTATAAACGTATGTACATAAAAATAGATTACAATATAAACTTTTACCAAAATATGTTGAGAATTGTAATTAGTTGCAATTGTATTGTGTTCAATAAAACGCAATTTAAAAAAGTTGTAATCTGTCATATGTCATATATGCATATTATATGTATATGCAACTGAATCAGATCGATGAAACAACAAAAATGCAATAAAAAGTCTGTTTCCATGGCAACTTTCCATGTCAAAATTGTACCACTCCATATTATGTATTTTATTTACTTTATGTTTTAGTGAAAGTGAGAGCATCAAACGTATATTTCAAATGACATCCCAGTCATACCTTTTTGATGAAGAAAACGTTGTCTCCCAGCTGCCCACCGCTGTGTCTGGTTTGCACGTTACTGTATATTGCTTGCTGAGTCGAGGGGTTCGTGAGTGGGTTAGGTTTTACGCCGAAAACAATATCATTTCAGTTATATCACGTAATGTCGGCTTGGTGTGCGAGGAAAGCCCAATGTGATGCGGGTCTTAGACGTTAACCATTTTGGTGAAACCCATGAGAAGGGTTGGAGCTGACAAACCTAGAGATTAATATGCATGAGAGTAGAACCCACGACTACATAGTCAGAACAGCGAATCGGCGTGTCTTAGACGACTGGGGACCGCCTCCGTGGTCTAGTGGTAGAGCGTCCGCCCGGAGAGCGGAAGGTCCGTTGTTCGATCCCCGGACGCGTCATACCAAAAGACGTTAAAAGATGGTACTTGTTGTTACCCTGTCTGGCGCTCGGCATTAAGGGGCTAAAACAAGGACAGGTCGGCTCGGAGTCAGTATACTGTGTCTGAGTGGGGTATTCATGTTAAACTGCGGCATGGTATCTCAGTGAGCTAGCACTATAAATCGGCATCAGTCCGGTCTAGTACAAGCAGCCACACAAACACTCACACGTACATGCACGTCGCTATATAAGTGCAATAACCTGTGACGCGACGTTAAACCCCATTTCACCTCAACACATAAGGAGACGACTGGGCCACCCTACCTCCCTTTATACGTTCATCAAGATACCAGTGAGTGAGTGTTGTTGTACGCCGCAGTCAACAATAAAATCCAGGTATATCGCAGCAGGGTGTAAAAATAGAGCCCTAGACAGGGACATCACTGACACTCCACGCATATATTTTCAAACTATCAGCTACTAGACTGTCTTACACACCCTGAAACAAATATATCCAATACAGCCCATGCAAGTCTATAATAGTTGGCAAGTCTAGATTGACTGGAATTATTTCTGAACACGAAGATAGTCTCTGGGATCACTGTGTAATTACATAAAAAGGAGTACTCTTGCTATTAGGGTGGGTGAGTTTAGTTTAACGCCGCTTTTAACATTATTCCAGTGATATCACGGCGTGTCAGCTTAATGTGGAAGGAAAGCCCAAAGTGATGACAGTCTTAGGCGTTTACCACTTCGATGAAACCCACGAGCACGGGTATGGTGCTGACAAACCTAGAAACATAATTAGGGCGAACCGGGATTCGAACCCACAATCATAGGTTTCTGGTGTGCCCAAGGGATGCAACTCTGCACAGCGAATCGCGGCGCCTTAGACGACTGGACCACCCGTGCCCCACTCCTGCTATTTACGGATTTATGGGTGACGCCTCTTCTGTAATCATTACTTAAACATTGTTTAGGAAATAGAAATGGTTCATCATTTCTTCATGTACATCTATGCAAATACGAACAAGAAGGAAGTATTGAACGAGTAAATGAACGAGTAACTTTCCATAGACTACAGAAATCAGACTACCTGCCTGAGATTTAACGAGCGCTTCATCCTATCACTGATTCCGCACTCGGAACAGAAATAATAAGATTAATAGTCCACTTGTAACGGCGAGTCTGCACGAAGTTCATTGGGAGACAATCACCAGGTGATGTTCCATTTGATATAGACGTGTATATACTCTTCAAAAAAAAAACCCGCACAGGTAGATTTTTTGCACATTTATTGTACCTAATAAAGTCGATATATTTGATTGATCATAGATACAAATATGAAATTTTGGAGCTCGGTAGTCACATGTTGTCGTTGTAAAAAGGCATTGAAAACTGTTCATTGTCATGTCACATAAAGCCACAAGGTTGCGAACTCAGTATCTCATGTGACTGCCTCGGGCAGCAATCACGGCTCTGCATCTCCTCGGCACTGACTGGATAAGTGTACGAATTCTGTCCTGCGGAATTCTGCGCGATTCTGCTTGTAACTCGTTAGACAGTTGTTGGGGTGTCTGCGGCGTTGACGTACACGTCGATCGAGTTCATCCAAGAGATGTCCGATTGGGTTGAGATCTGGAGATCTCGGCGGCCAGGGCAAGGCGTTGATGTTGTCATTATGAAGGTCGTCTACCGAGACACGAGCTGTGTGCGATGGAGCGTTGTCCTGTTGAAACAGCTCTAGCGGTCAATGATTGGAAGGTGAGGTTGAAGAATTTGATTCATTGATTCATGTAGCGATTTGCTGTGACATTTCCCTGAACTACAACCAAGTCAGATCTCGTGGTGTACGATATTGAACTGTGTGTATCGGTCCCAAAAGGCGGCAAATTGTGCTTTGGTGGACGTTGAAGTGGCGTGCAACAGAAGACTGCGATTCCCTTCCTATGGCGATGTTCCGATCGGCAGCGCTGAGTCTCGGCATTTTCGAACTTGAAAAATGTTGACAATTGAACGACAAATTATTGGCTTTTGCTTGCCTTTTTATAGCCACTACCATGAGTTACGAATTCCATAACTTGCACGTGCATTTTGCTTTACTGTTTTCCTCCATGGCATTTTTGAACAAGTGTGTAAACAATGCCGTCTAAGACATTGCAAATCGACAATGGCTGCGTTTTGACGCACCGTTTGTCGAATATCAGGCCACCAACATTTTCCAATAACATATGTCCAGTTTATATACCGGATTTTTTGTGTAGTCAGGTTCATTGAACTACATACTACCTGTGCGTTTCCTTTTCAGAAGAGTGTACTATATATATCAAAGGTAAGCGACTACTTGGTTAATAATCATTATAAGCTTTTGATTTGTTAATATAGACAATATTGTACTTCTCCAAATTTGAAAGACTTGAATTGCATGCGAGTTATTATCAGGGGGTCTGGTCTAGATAAGCATGTTGGTTACAGCTCGGGTCGTTTTCGTTTTGGATCTTCACTATGCCTAATCTTATGTGTGTCGTGAACAATAGAGGTATTTGATTGTTTGTTTGTTTGTTGTTTAACGCCGCACTCAGCAATATTCCAGCTGTATGACAGTGGTCTGGACCAGACAATCCAGTGACTGACATCATGAGCATCGATCCACACCATTGGGATCGATGACATGCATCAACAAGTCAGCGAGCCTGACCAACC